ATAAATCACTCTACGCGAATCGGTGGAAAAATCCGATTCAAAAAGCCTAATTCAAAAGATAGATGCCAAAAATGTAAATTGCGCAGCACGATCTGGGAGCCACTGACACTTCCGGCACTATTTCTCGAAAACGCACGCTTGAAACCGAAAAAAAATATCCAATCCCGTTAGGGAAAAAATCACTCTACGCGAATATGTGAAAAAATCCGGTTCAAAAAGCCTAATTCAAAAGATAGAGGCCAAAAAAGTAAATTGCATCGTACGATCTGAGAGCCACTGACACCTTCAGCACTATTTCTCGAAAGCGCACGCTCGAAACCGAAAAAAAATATCCGATTCCGTTAAGGGAAGAGTTACTCTACGCTGTTATACCGAAAAAATCTAACCGAGGAGCCTAATTTCAGAAATATAGGCGAATAAAGTATACTGTGTAGAGCGATTTCACAGGCACCTGCTTTTCTGTTACTTTGTTTCATATATGCACCTTCAATTGTAATATAATTGCCCTACTGGTTCGAAAGCAGCCTATTCTATGCATTAGTTATGAAATATTCTAATTTAAAATTAAAATTTGGAATGTAAAAGAGATAATACATAACTATGTTGCAATGGAATGTCAAGATCAAAGAAAAATTGAATAACTATTAAAAAGCTGTCTATTCAGAGTAATGTTGATCAAATATTCCAATGAACTGTCGAAATCTAGAATCTTCTATAGCCGATAATAACGGACAATGCGGTAGTATCATAGGATACGGCACTCACACCACTTTATTTCCCACGTGTATCGTTATACGATTTACACTATGTAACATAACTTTTTTTCACATGTAGTATATTACCACCGTAGAAATGTTCACAGTTAGTAATCCTGAACTTCATAAAGTAATTAAGACGTCAATCAGCGATATCACTACTTCACGAAACGTTCTGAGATTTAATGTTTTATTTTGACGCGGGAGAATACTGCACGATGTTAATATTATGCCCGCTTGCCACCAACTGGAAGTTGGGTGCAGCCGGATGTGCTAGGTATTTTTATAGCGGGAAAATGTTGCATCTTTGAAATAGCTATGTGCTAAAGTATCGATGTAAAATATCAAATGCAGTTTCTTATATTTATTAATATCAATGAAGTGAATATAAATATATTTTTGTTACGAAAAATTCCAAGTTTCTTTAATTAATTCATGAACATTTATAGTTGCACAGTAAAGTTGGAATTATAGGTAACATTCTTATATAATGTTTAATTTTATAATTAGTTATTAGTAAATAAGATTGCTATGAAAAAGTGTTTTTCTTGCATAATATTCTTATTATTAAGTAATAAATATATACTAGTATAAGAAAGATTAAAATATAAATTTTTTTATTAAGAAATTTTATTTACATTATTTTCATAGGCGAAAAATGAATACAAAATAAAAAATAGATTGAAAAAACTACTAACTAAGAACAGGAATCGAACCGCTGTCCTGCATCATATGAATTCTCGACTCTCCTCGGTAGACTATGAGTCCATTAGAAAAGTATTTGAAATAAGCTATAATTATGGGAGTAATAAAACTTTAATCATAAATATCTTAAAAGATACTGAATAATTACCCCTATAATAGTATATTTTCTTAAACTGCATGACGAGATTTATAAACCAGCAAAATTTGAACCAAATCGGTGACCCGATGGACCTGCAATCTTCTTGCAAGTCTATCCTATACCTCGTTTATGATAAAACCGACAAAAGATATATTCTATGCCTTACCTCTGATGTTATGTAGTAAATAAAAAAAATGATATAATAACCACATTATAGAATACAGTTTTATAATAAAAATTTTAACACACAATCAAAAAGTCATATTAATGCGTTCTCTACTAAATATTTCTGGTTCTGTTTAATATAAAATATGCTTATACATAAACAAATCTAACAGTTTGTAAAATTAATAATGAAAATAAATAAGCTGATCAATAAATTAATAGGTTTATGAGAAGGTAGCTTATTGGTAACGTCAACGATAATTATTTTATCATTTTCTACGTGTCAATTCCTATTCTATGCCTTCCTGCTCTTAAATCCATGACATGTTATCGCACGCGCAGTACCACTCAGGTGGCGAGATAGGAAAGGTGGAGGGAAGTTAATCGTTTTCTTCTTCACTTAGTTGTTCGATTGCAATACATAAATAGTGAAACAAGATAATATAAAAATGGAAATGTAATAATTTTCTTACAACCTGATCAATTGCACCAATTGCCAGAAACGACTACAAAAAGAGAATTTATAATCTAATATATTCGTTCACCATGACTTGAAATACGTAGTAAATATACAAGTTCCATAAAAAATTCATAAAATCACATGTGTTATAAATAATCACCTGCAACAACCAGTTTATTGTTCCGATAAATTCAAGTACATATGTGTAACACTAATTGAGAATTAATCAGTCACGACATACATGCCTCGTAAACGAAGAAAAAAGCCAGATATATAACAGTATGATGACAGGAATGCGTAAATTAAAACGATAAAATAATCAATTTATTGAGCTTCTGGCTTTACATTTAGAGTGTACAAACGATGGCACCCACTAGAGACAAATGGGTGAGACGTTTTATTATTCCAGAAACAACACGACATAAGAAAGGCTTTACTATTTACAAAGTTACATCTGTGGTATGATATGAAATGTCAATATCATGTAGAGTAAAACAGTTCGATAATCGGATAACTTAAAATAATATATTTAATTAGTTTAAATTAGTGTATTGCTTTTTATTGTTTTATAATATTCTATCAATGTTAAATTCATTTTCAATAAGTGCCCTATAAATTTATATATAAGGATACATATCTCTTTTAGGTATTTTTAAAGAATTCACATGAAGAAATTTCTAAAGTGTCTGTGTGGAAACGATATAATGACTTCAAAAAACTTCATTCAGAATTAAGTGTATTATATTCGCAAACCAAAATTAAAGAAAGTTTTCCTTCATTTCCAAAGCCAAAATTTTTTGGCAGATTTGAAGCTGAAGTTATCGAAGAAAGAAGAGAATGTGCATTAAAGTTTTTAGAATTTATTGGAAGACATTCGTATTTATACTCTAGTGATACTTTTATCAAATTTTTTGAAACTAGTCATGCTGATTATTATTTAAATGATTGTTCTCAATCTCTTAGTTCTGACACATCAACAGAGGAAGATCGCCATACTTATTTAAATACCCTACCTAATAATGATGTGTCTGAATGTATTTTACAACCCAGAAGTATTCATACTTCATTAACAAATTTATCTGCTTCAAAAAATGAAATGAAACAATCTCAAGAAACATCTGAAGTTACAGAACAAGTTTTAGAACAAAATGATTTAAGGTACAAAACTGAAAATGAAAAGATATCCATGATAAATAGCACATGTAACAAGTTGCTAATTGAAAACAATGATTCCAATAAAATTGCTTCTAAATTAGAAGATAATCAAGTAATTTGTAACAAAAACAACAATTGCTATAAAGATAAAAACTGTAATGTTAAGAATGAGAATTGTTCTACAATTGTACAAATATCAAACACTAATACAAATAATGATACAATTATTGAAGATTTAAATTCTTCATTAAATACTCATGATGGTTCTGATCTACCACAATCATGGGCAGATTCTTCACAATATATTTTAATTGCAGCAGCACATATGAGTGCAGCTTTTAAACATGAAGATCTTACAGAGTATGAAGAAGCATTTACTCAATACAAAATGGGAATATCTAGTCTTCGGTCCGGTGTTGAGTCTGATTCAAATAAAATAAGGGCAGATATAATTAAAGAAAAGATATCAAAATATCTAGAACGTGCTGAGAAGCTTTATAATAGATACTTAAATTGTAATATCTCTGTGTTGAATAAACCTATATCAGAACTTCAATATTACAAAGTATTAAAAGTTATAGAATCTGTAATGCTTGTAAAGGATATTCGTCAAAACTGTCTCAGCATCGTAAAAGTATGAATAATTTGAAAATATTTTAGTTTAGTGAATAAAAAACGCTATGAATCAAAGAACCAAAGATTGAATATTTTATCTGCATAATATGAGATATTAAAATAAATTTAAATGAAAATTTTCTTAATAATTTCAGGCTATAGAGAAATTGTCTTCAAACAAAGAAAGTATAAGTAACTACATATTACGTGGTGAAATACCATACATGGTCCATTTACATGCTTGTGTTGAAACAGAAACAAGTGTATTTTTGATTTTACAACATCTGAGGTATGTATTAGAAATAACAATATTATTTAATAATATTAATTAAATGCTATTCATAGAATTGTATTATAGCCGTGGGAAATTGTGGGATTTCATAACATCACATTACAACTCCAACAATAATAAAATTTATGATAGTATAACTGCAACAAGTAATACTGACAAAACAATCAATGGTAGTGATATTATTTTAAGGACAAGTGATATAAATGAAATTGGAAGCGCTAAGCTCAAGGAAAATTTAAACCTTATAAGTACAAATACCAAAGTACAAATGGAGATACATCCGATAACGGTAAACGAAAAATATACCAATGTTTCTACTACACAATTACTAGAGAAGGCGCAAATACTCTTACAATCGGTTAATGCAACTTTAAAAGAAAGTAATTCCGTTGCCAATCGGTTGTGCGAATCTGACCGCTTGATAAATCATCAAGATAATACTACATTATTGAATTTTAAAAACAGTATATATCAGTCGAAAGATTGTAAACAACTATCGGTAGATGTTAATGATATATCGTTAAAAATTGACGATATAAATAAAACCATCACAAACGAAAAAATACCTGAAAAAAATGTGATAACTACTAGTTATTCGTCACAAAATAACATTACGAATACTAAGAGTCAATGTAGCACTTCTAATTCGTCATTAAACAGTAGTTGCAAAAATCTTAATTTTGAAGAAAAAGAATCAACAAGTTCTTCAACGGATAGTTTAAAAACAGATACTGCATATTTTGCAACAGAAAATAAAAATGATAACATTTCAAAAGGATACGAATTAAATAAATTAATAGAAAATCACTTAGAAACGCATAATTATTGCATACTAAATAATCAGCAAATTCAAAACAATACACTTTTAATGGAATCAACAAAAAACAATAATATAGATACTGAACAAGAACTTTGGACAATACCCGAAAATGTAATTCATCTTTGGGCTGCTGAAATACTTTTGGCGTTAGAAGCATTACACCAACAAGAAGTTATTGTTTTTGATTTAAAGCCTGATAATATATTACTTGATGATAATGGACATGTGCAATTAACATACATTGTACCGCGTCACGATATAAATTTATTAAAATATAAACATCCATATTCGTCTCCTGAATTATGCACATTTTCACCTATGATTCCCCTCACTCCAGCAACAGATATTTGGAGTTTCGGTGTTATATTGTATGAATTAATAGTAGGCAATGTATGTAAAAATGACAATAAAACTGGTAAAGTTTTATATAAAATAAACACTATATAAATACTTTATATTACAGAAATTTCAAGCAAAGCACCCAGGTACATTTCAATCACATTCCATCATTAACATTCCTAACAAGCTTTCCGAAAATGCAAAATCTTTACTTCTTAATGTAAGTTCTTACAATGTACTTTGTATTTTAATAATTTATAAATTTAATATATGCAGTCTTTGTACAATTTTACAAATTTTCAGATATTAAAATATGAACCAAATGAAAGGATGACAATACCCGAAATAAAACAACATCCATTCTTCAAAGATATTAATTGGTCGAGTTTGGTAAATACACTATAAAACCATCAGAACTTAGTTCTTATTATGTTTTCATAAAATGTGTTGATATACTTGAACAACTCTTATGAAGCATTTATATAGAGCATATTACAAATGACAAATACTTAGATATTAGTCAACAAAGTTCATTACTTACGTGTTTATAAATATTGTACAATGATAAAATTAATATATATTATATAATTATAGAAATAAAAATTATATTTCTATAATTTCCTAAAGAATCCAACATTTAGAATTTTTTTACTAGTGAAAGCATTACATGCAATATAGGATGATTTATAAAAAGTATTCTATCATTGTACAAAAGTATTATTTACAAAATGTATATTAAATATAAAATCATTTGTCGTAGGTAAAAAATATTAATTTATTTATACAAATAGGTTTATGCAGATTGAAATGTATAACACATTTACTTACTTCGTATTTTTTCACTTCTAGATATAGTTGACATTCCATCAACAAACTTAGTTGTAAATATTACATTAGCATTGTTGAACATTCCATCCTTTAATGACACAACAATAAATTGTGAATGTTTAAAATGTCTTTTTAACATCATACCAATATTCTCTGTATGAGAAAGATCCAATGCAGCATCAACCTCGTCCAAAATATAAAGTGGAGCAGGTTTAAATAAAAGCATAGCCAAGATTAAAGATAAAGCAACCAAAGATTTTTGTCCCCCTGATAATTCTCCTAATGATTCTTTCCAAACTCCAGAAAATGCAATTTTCACTTCTAACCCTTCTGTAACTGTTTGATTCTCAGGAGGTTGTAACTTTGCATCAGCTCCTGGTAGTAAACTACTAAAAATTGATCCAAAATCTTTGTTTACCTAAAAATTATATACAGTAATTATACAATATAAATTTTATATTTAAAATAATTCAATTTAAATATTAAATAATACTACTTGTTCCCAAGCTTTCAGTAATGTTTCTCTCTTTTTTTCATCTAAATGCTTAATTGTCTCTAATATTTTCCTTTTATCATTTTCAACTATTTTCTTTTTCTTCATCATTTCATTATATTGCTCTTCTTCCCTATCAAGAAGACTAATAGCGCGTGTATTAATACTTCGACTTAGTTTTTCACGCATCGATTGTAATTGTTGTACTTTTTGTTCCATTTCATTGGGTTTATTAACATTAAAATCGTAAATACCACCTAAAGAATTAAATAAACTTCATGAATAGACAATACAATACTTATAAATACTTAAAAATTACATTTCATACATAACTTAAATAATATAGAATAAACATTACCTGTTTTTCCAAAATAGATCTTGTCCTGTTCAATCCATTCATACTTCCGCGTAAGTTCCATAACTTTTTCTTTACAATTTGTAGCAATATTTTTAATCGAATTGATTTCGTGATTTAACTTCTTAATATCTAATTCTGCTTCTTTATTTTGTTTCATGATGGTTTCTTTTTGTGTTATAAGTTTCTGCATGTGAGCATTTTGCTTATTGATTAAGCTTCTGTGTTCTTTTATATTTGACTGTACTTGTTTTACAGTATCTTTTGCTTCATTTAATTCTTGTTCCAATGCACTATCTTTTTCTTGTAGGGCATTTAACTTTTCTTCAGATACTACTAATTGTTCTTTTCCAACTTCAATACTTTTCTGTAATTCTTTTATTTCCAATTCAAGTATATCTGCTTCTTGTTCCCGTTTTTGCCATTCTTCACGACTATTTTCGGCTTTTTTCTTTAATTTTTCTAGCTCGGATTTGGCTCCCTTTAATTGTTTCTCACGAATATTAGCAGCATCTTTTAATTCATGTTCTAGTTTTTGAGCACGTTCAGTACTTTCCTTTTCATTCTTTTTTGCTACTGCCATTAATCCTAATAGCTCCTCAATACTTTTCTCCAACATATCAATCTATAAAAAGTGTACACCAATTAACAATTTATTTGTCTAAATTATATTTATTCTACATACCTCATGTTTTATTCTATAATATTCTGTTTGTTCTAATCTTTGTTTCAGCACATTGATTTCATAATTCCGTAAATCAAATGTTTGTTTTAATGATGCATACTTCTCAGCAATATTGTTTACATTTGTCAATGTAGTCTCAATGTTTTGAAGATTCTGTTGTTTGGTATTTAGTTCATTTTGTATATCTTTTAATTCGTCTAATTTTAAAAGAATTGATCCAGTTTTTAATGGTGCACCACCAGATAATATGCCAGCAGGATCAACGACATCTCCGTCTAAAGTGACGCATTTTTTCATTATGTTTTCATGAAATGCTATTTTTTTCGCAATTTCAATATCTTTACAAATAAAGATTTGTCCAAAAATCCATGTCATAGCAGATCTAGTTTCCTCTGGAAAATCTATGAGAGATAAAGCAGGTCGAACATTTTCCGTACCACCTACTCTTTGTGCCAAATGAAGTAATTGATTATCCATGGGTCTTCCACTTACTTTATTCAGAGGAATAATGGTTACACGTTTTTGTAATTGACCATGCTGAAGTATTTTCTTACTAGTAGTTTCTGTATCTACTATTACATTATATAACTGAAATTTTTAAAATTACTTAAAATATTAAATTCGAAATATTAGTGTAATATTATTAATTTAAAAATAAATTTTATACGAAAATCGTTAAGTACCTTTCCTCCTGCAGCAATGTCTAGAGCATATGCTGCTTTTTTATCTTTTACTGTGATTAGTTTACATACAACACCTTTCACAGAGTTGTGATTAAAATTAGGTTGTGGTTTCTTATATTCAAATCTGATTTGAGGGTACCTCAATTCAAACTGCTCTACTTTTTCTTCTAATGTTAGTACTTCATTCTTTAATGTATGTCTTTGTTCTCTAAGTTGTTCTATGTAACCATCTTTATAATTTAATTTCTTCAATTCATTTTCTAAATTTTTTACTTCTTTCTCTTTATTTTCAAGATCTTTAGTATACTTTTTGTATTCATCTCCAGTATTTTTCAAATCTACTTTTTTGTTCTTCAGTTGCTCTTTATTATGATTTAATGTCATTTCATGCTGTTTGCACTGTGTTTGTGCTTCTACTAGATTCTGTTTAGCATTTATTAGTTGTTGCTCCAATGTGGCATTTTCACCATCTTGATTTTCTAGTAAACCAGAACTAATTTTTTGATACTTTTCTTGTGCAAGTAATACTGCTTTATGATCCTGTTCATCTCTTTCTTTTAATGTCTTAAAAAGATCTTCAACTTTAGCAAATTCTTTTTGCTTTAATGTAAAAGCATTTTCATCATCAGTTATATTAGCCATTAATTGCTCAACTGCTTTTTTAGCAGCTTTAATACTTTCTTTATTGCTATTAACTTCAGCTGTCAACTTAAATTGCTTCTTTTCTACTTCTTTTAATTCTTTCTCCATGGATTCTAATTGATCTCCTGTTTCCTATACAAACAAAATATATGAAAAAAAAAAAAAAATGAACATTGTAACAATACATCAATGCATATTTTCATTTAAAATACATACTGTATCCCTTTTCCTAGCTATTTCATCAAGTTCTTGCTCTATATTTTTAAGTTCTTCTTCACCAATAGTAATGTTTTTTGTTTTCTCTTCTATTTTATTTTTAACAATTTGTACATTTTCTTCTGCACCTTCACTTTCATTTAAGACTGTGATATATTTCCATGCTAGACAAATTCTTCTACAGTGTTCTAATTCTCTTTCTACACGTTGAAATTCAACATATTGTATTTTTTCTTCTTTTAGCTTTGTTAATCTTGGACCTATCTCTTCTTTCAAAATCTGGAATAAAGTACCTAAATTACAATCTATACTGATAAATTAGATACAAACAATGCTTGGAATTAATCCATACATTATTTATCTCCTTTAGTTTACTATCCTTTTTTTCTATAGTTTTCAAAGCAGCTTCTTTTTTATTTTCATACATTCGAGTACCAGCAGCTTCTTCTATCATAGATAAAATTTCCATAGGTTTCATATTTAAAACTTTTGTAATTCTTCCTTGCATTATTAAAAAATGTGGATTATTTACATTTAATTGAACAGAACAAAACATATCTTGGACACGTTTATTTGGTACATTGGATCCATTAATTAAATATTTATTTTTACCACCAATTACAACTTGTCTTGTAACTATTATTTCTTCATGATGTTCATATCCCATGGGAGATGAACTTCTATCTCTATTATCAAATGTTATAGTAACACTAGCTTTCTTTACACCTGCTTGACCAGATTTATAAACTAAATCTTGTAATGATGTTGCACGTACCTACAATAAAAAACTAAAACATATTCTTTTTCCTATAAATCTGATAGAAAGATTAAGCTTAAATAAAGGTAAGTCCAATGTATTTATAATGTAACTTTGCATAATTCGTATCATATTATTTTTAATGAAAATCATATTAAGTAGTGTTGCTCCAATTATATTATTGTACTATTCTGAATGACAATTGTATTAAAATGTAGAAATATATTGAGGTTACATTTAAAAAATCTTGTTAATACAACATAAAAAATAAAATACCTGTCCAAGGTTCGTAATACCCAAAACAAAGCATATCGCATCGAGAATGTTTGATTTCCCGCTACCATTAAATCCTGTGATCGCATTGAATTCTTTGTCAAAACCATTTATTTCGATTCTTTTTCCATACGATTTAAAACCTTCTAATACCATAGATTTTACATACATTTTGAAATTAAATAAATGAAAATATTATTTTAACTGAACTTAATACAGTTAGCAAAACTATAAATTCAAATTGTAGAAAATGACCGGTATAATACATTGTTTAAAACAACATAGATTGGGAACAAGTAACCAACGATAGAAGTCATTCTTCCACGTACGTGTTCCAAAATTCATTTAATAATTTACATGCAAATATTTTACTAATACCGTAAAACGGTTACTAAAATTATTGATGTGTAACTAACATTTTATTTAAAAGTATTGCGAATATGAAGTTCTACAAAATATAATCAATTATATGCTAAAATTTCTAGTGATATATTATATTAGGAGATATTTTGTGATGTCTTTTCTAACACATGTGTGCAATACATCAACCAGCATCTCTATTTAATTATTCAGTTTCAAACCATAACAAAATATTTTTGAACATTGAAAGGAATTTTGTTTATTCTTTAAATACTTTGTTATATAAGAGGTAAAAGTTTTAGGATAGAAATAATTTTTTCAAAACCAGAGTAAAAAATATCTTAGAATTTATTAAAATTAGAAATAGTGTAAAAATTACTCGTACTAAATTAGACGTAATATAAGGTTACAATAAAAAATATCATGATTTAATAAGTCAAAATTTACATATAAAATAAAATACTTTATTAATGAAATTAGGTAAAATCTAAGGATCTTGATAGTATTTATATAGATACCACTTTCATACATAATACATTGATTTTTTTTTTAATTTATTGTTACCAGGACCACCATGAATATTCCCCCAATTCAACAACCTGGAACAATTGGGGTGGGACAGATGACACAACCTGTAAATCCTCAACTTCCTCAAAATCCACAACAGACACAACAACCACAAGTTCAGCAGCAACAACAGCAACAACAACAACAACAACAAACACAAGAAAAGCTTGACAATATTTCTAAAGTTAAATCATTAATTGGACCATTAAGAGAGTCATTGGCAATAGCTCTTAAAACAGCAGCACATACATTACATCAGAATAGTTTAGTAGATGTTGGGTCTCTAAAGGGTATCGATCAACCTGATCATCGATTCAATAAAAATATGGAAGAATTTTATTCCATTTGTGATCAAATAGAATTACACTTGAAGACTTCTATAGAATGTTTATCACAAAATTCTAGCTCTGTGAGGTACTTACCAATATCTGTTATACCAACACGCACTGATACTGTTGGAACTCAAGAAGGACCTGCTTTAACATATCCTCAGTTTTTGATGACTGTAAGAGCCCAAGTTGCATATGCTCGTGAAGTTCATGATACTTTAGTTTCTGCAGCACAATCTATAGCATCAGGTGAATGAGTTATTTCTTAAAGAAGAATCTGTGAAAAAGGTTGTGACAAAGATAATAGTACTTAGTTATTAATTTATAATTCCATAAGTCAAATAGTTTTATATATTTTATTTTGTACATAATACAATAATATATAATCGTACTATGTTAATAAAATTAAATAATTTTTGTTAAACGATAAAGACTTTTATTTTGAAATATATTTATACAAAATTATTTGTAATATATTTTTATATGTTAGAAAATAATATATAAGTGTACAACTAAAATTTATATATCGTTTATTATTAATTAATTACTTTTTATTTATTAATGTCTAGCAATTTTTTTACCATCGTTTATGAAAAGGCTATAATTCTATAAATAGAATATTAATGCCTCACAATAGATACACGTGTACACATGTTTTATTTATTTATGCAAGATACAGAAACAATATGTTAATACAAATCAATGGTCATAATTGAATCTGTACATTCTGTATTATCATCTGTTATTAATGCTTAGAATAGATGAACATGTTCACAATTATAAGATATGATGTCAAGGCATTTGCATGAAAGGAAAGAATACTAACACGAATATCATGAAATTTTAATATTGCTATCCATTATTAAGTTCAACTTTATAACACTTATAGATTTATCTTAAACAATTTCCAGTACATTCTACATACGTATGTAAATATTAAAACGTGATTCATAATACGTCCATGTGTACGACGATATTAGCCAGATATTCACCAGAATTAAAAGTAACATCTGAATTAATGACCCAATGTAACGTAAACGACATTTCGATAAATCAAGACTTCGTTAAGTACTTCATACGTTACAAAAAGGTGTTAACCGACTTATTATTTTTAACCATCTTTTAGCTAAATCGCAAGTGACAAAAATGAAATGTACGAAGCTAAATGTAAACAAAAGTTGATAAAACTATAAAAGCTCGAAGGTAATAAGAAATAGCGGATCAACACAGAGAGCCGCTTATCAGCCGTATGTTTTAGTAAGCACGTAGAAATAGGAAGGACATACCGGTAAAAGAGGGGGGGAGGAGAGGCGTGCAGGAAGCGCTACTGTCAGTTGGATTGGTGTTTTGTCGCGGCGCGCCGAGTGATCATTTGAAAAGGAAGGACCACCTCTGTTCACCATATTTGGCAAACTTTCCCTAATATGGTAACGTCTACTTCTAAATATGGCAGCCGGGGACGCCCTCTCGCTGATTCTTGTACCACTCCGCGCGATCTTTCTGCCGGAAATTTTGGAATAACGAAGCCATGTAAAAGGTATTTACCGACGAATCAAGGACCATCGAGGACTGTTTAATTTTTCTACGAAGAAATTTTTGAAGATCTTCCTCCAGGGAACTGTATTTCGATTGAGTGGACTACTTTTTTACCGCGGACGTGGAATTTGGTGGGGGTAGCAGCTGCGCAGGAACGTACGGAGGCACCGCGTTAGCACGTAGGTCAAGTTACGATACTCTGCGCGCATTCAGTTCGCGGGGAGCGCTCGTGCAGTGCGCGTTGTTGTCCCGTGTTCCTCTAGATGGTTGATCACGTGGGAAACATTGCGCCGAGTTTTCGCGATTCCGTGGCGGAGAAGGGCCGAGGGAAAGGGAATAAATGTGTGCGAGTCCGTAATGGACAACCCTAGCGGCGGAAGAGATAGTCGGTACGCAAGTCTTGGCTACAGCATGGGGATGATAGGCAGCGACGCTGGCTCGGAAATGTACGGCCGACCGTCCACCTCCCAACTTACAACTTCTCAAATAAGCCGCGGTGGCGCCACCATGATGGCCGCGGCAGCCGCTGCAGGCGCACCGAACGCCGGCGTGGGATCTGTACAGAGGGGTATCAAGAGGACCACTTCGGACGTCTGTTACGATGACAGTAATGCACGGCAGGCTCTTTCGCAACAGCAAAGCATGTCAATGTCTGCTGACTGTGTCCCTGACAATCTCGAGGAATCGTTTACAAGTTTGGGTCAACCGAAAAAGTCACCCCCTTCAAACGGCAAGAAGACCAAAGGACGGGTCAAGATTAAAATGGAGTACATCGATAATAAGCTACGAAGGTATACTACCTTCTCTAAGAGGAAAACCGGAATCATGAAGAAGGTGCGTATTCGGCAAACATGTCGGTCTATTTCTCGTTAACATAAAAACAGTGCGTTCAATCCGTCGGCTACCGATGCTCTCGATCGTCGTCATCGATTGTCTCTGTGTGATCGTTAAATGTCCTATAGCGGACGAGGTGTTGAAGTGCGTTGAAATTCGCGAGATAAGAAAGTATATGTCGCGGGCAACGAATGAAAAGTCGGCTTTCGAATGTGACACATAAGAACCAAGGGAAACGTGTATTATCGTTGTGTGGTTGCGCGGATTGCGCAAATCAAACGTATGCCGATGACTTTAGCGAACACGCGATCCGAGAGCGCGCGATTTATGAGTGACATCTGTGCTTTCGCTGTCGTGTATTTGTATACCACTAACCTATTCATGTATTTTGGATTAAAATACACCGAGCAAAGATATACTACGCTAGTCGCGTCTTTGACATCGTAAAAACGAACGTGTGAGAAATTTTGACAATTATCGTATCATTCCTTTTACGAGTCTGTCAAATATATTCGTCTTTTTCTTAAATTTATTTTTCCGTCATCTTCGTATATACGGTTCGCTATAGTTTGACGAACAATTAGTGAATGTACTTTAAAGTTATAAGTTACACGATCGAATTTCACGTTTGCCTAAAAATTGATGGTTTTTTCGTTTCTCTTTTTGTTACAGCTTCGCTCACAGGATTTATTCTGTGAACGGTTACGTGTCTATATTAACGTTAACGTTGTATTTCATACCTCAGGTAATGAACGCGTTGTCGCCATGACACAATATCGTAGAACTTGCTTTTAAGTCATTCTTTCTTTTTTTTTTTTCCTTTTTTTTTTAAGAAATGCTTCTTTTAATCCCTTGAAAATTATGCGGTGTCTATGTTTGTTTACATTTTACCGCTAAATACCCTCACGAGTCTTTTTATACTCGTATTAACGAGAAACGTACTGCTCGAGTATCAAGTAACGCATCAAGTTAGAGGAAAAGAAAAAGTATACGGTGGTGTGAAAAATAATTGGAAATTATTTTTTGAGCCAAACTTTTTCGGTCCTAACATCGGTGGTAATCGTGTTACAGTTGTTTATTTGATCCAAACGCCGGCGTATCTAAATCCGTAGAAGAACCTAAGGCAAATTGCATCTTTCATACGAATATAGAAAACCAAAGATAGATTGTTCCCCTTTTCTAAAGACGCTCCTCTATAATTAGCTGTTTTGACATGAAACTGACATAACTGCTTTATAACGTTATTAGAAAAATGGGAACTTAAGCTAAACTGAAAATAAACAGCGGTATTATGTAAGCAGGTAGTATAGACTGAAATGTTATGTTGAACTCGCAGGCAGTGTTAAAAGAATAACATATCGCCGAAAAGGTTTCCGGTTATCTAAAGACTTTTGAAAATGCAGGAGGATAAAACTCGCAGTAGAAAGGTAAAGATTTTTTTCAATCGTTTAACTGCCGTAAAATTATTTTTACTTCTATGATATTTACAGCAAGATATTACATTGGTTCTTTTTTTATTGCAGATTACAAATTGCAGAACGATAAAAAGATAAATTAACAAAATCGAGTAATACGAGCTTTTTGCACATTTTTGTTTTATAAAACATAAATTGCTCATACTAATGGTATCACGTATGGTTATTACAAAAATTACGTTAAGGTTCATCATAGGATATAATTACGATTCTGTTTTTCTTTTCTTTTTTTTTTTTTTTTTCTATATTGTACAGTTAAAAATTGATATTAAATGTAAAATTATAGAGAACACGCGAATTGGGAAGATCAAACGAGCGAGAAGGAATATGCAGTAATCGATGAAAAATTTCGATAAGAGGTATAAACGCGAGTTTATCCTCGGTTTATTTTGCATATCCTTTTGCAGAATACTTTCTTTAACTGTAAATATGCTGCATCGTCTCTGATCTAAGCCAAAGACAACGATTTCATAACGTTTCACTATGTTTATTCATCTTCGTGCCGCGGTTGCGTTGTTCCCCCTCGAGCAGTACGTTTCTTGTTAGCAAGCTGAATTTTTACAATTTAGATTCAACTTAAATATACAATGTATCCTCGTAGGAGCCTCGGTTTTCACTACAAAAAGAAAGAATTCCATCCGCACCACGCTTGTAAACGCTTCGGTAAACCTTGATAATTATTATGTCATTACATTATGATCTCTGAAACACGAGAACCAGAGTACGCATATAGTTTTTTTTTTCTCCGTGTGTGCTCGTTTCTAATTAATTATTTATAAAAATCGTAGATTAATGATTGCCCAGGCGGCGACAATTTGCATAAGCGCGCTCTATAAAGATCGGAATATAGAATGCGTTTGTGATACACGCCGAACGTTTAAGAATCCAATGGAAAATATTACTTTCGTTACTTGAGTATCTGACTGCGAATTTATGGTTCATATCTCGCTCCTCGCTTTAGACAGACACCATCTTAATTAATCACAATGTGAATGTCTATTGAAATCCACAATGCAACATTCAAAAACTTGAATGCGTAAACTTTTTCTTCATGAATCAAACATGAGTTTTTCAATCGTTCAAACGTGTAGTACCATTCATCCGTGAAAGACACCCGGCTGCTTCACTACTAGAATCTTCTATCGACTGTTCAAAAACCTCTCATCGATTAAGATTCGTTCCTTTTGAAAATTTCTCCCGCGTATCACGTAACACGTTGAAACGCTCTTCTCTTCCTCCTCCAGTCTGCCCTCGTCCGACTAAAACCAGCTCTCGAGCGAACCAAAGAAACGAAATCAGAGACTCAGGGGTTGAGAATAAAAATAAAAGAGAGAAAAATAGGGGAAAAAAGTTGAAAGAAAAGGAACGGGACGAAGCATCGTTAATACGATCGAGAACGAATCGAAGAAAGGCCCTGGGACATCCCTAATTAATCGTTATCTCTGCTTGCAGGCGTACGAGCTGTCGACACTGACAGGTACACAGGTGATGCTGCTGGTAGCCAGCGAGACCGGGCATGTGTACACGTTCGCGACACGAAAGCTGCAGCCGATGATAACGAGCGAGGCCGGGAAGGCGTTGATCCAGACCTGCCTGAACAGCCCAGACCCGCCCGCCTCCGGTTCCTCCGGCGACCAGAGGATGTCCGCGACCGGCTTCGAGGAGACCGAACTGACCTACAACATAGCCGACGACGAGCAGAAAGTAAGGCAACTGGTGTATGGCTCGCCGCACGGTGGCTCGCTGCACGGCGGATATCCTGGTGGCGGACCGACCGGAGGGCCTCCTGGCCATCCGCCACCCCCGCCGCCGCCACCGCCGCCGGGTTCGCAGCACGCGCCACCCTCGCACGCGCAGCACGCGCACCTGATTGCGCATGCACACGCGGCCTCGCCGAGCTCGCACCTGGTACCCTGTTCCAGTCCTGGACCCATGTTAGCTGGCCCCTATCAACAGTCCTGTCCGTCGCCTCTGCCACCCCATCACGCCGCCTACCATCCTCACATGTCGCACTCTCATCCCCAACGGTAGTACTACCCCACTTGAACCAGCGCTCGCTTGTCCTCCGACTCTGTCCGCGTGTCCAACGCATCCGTTGCCTGCTGCTGGTTACCGTGTTCTCCGACTTTCCATGATCGATGACTACGGGGAATACCGAGGCAAAGAGGAAGATAGAGAGAGAGAGAGAGAGAGAGAAAGAGAGATAGAGAGGCAGAATGCAGCGTCGGAGCTCACGGTCCAACCGCGTCCGTGGATATCGTTGGAGAGCAGAGAGGAGATGCTCGATAAGAGTCGGTGTCCGCGAAGTTAGAGAGCTACGGTCGCCGTCACGGGCCGCCAGCGTAACGGCAATTATCCGCGTACGCTTATCGCCCCCGTCGGCTGTCGTCGATTGGCCGCGACAATCGTCCACTCCGAACGGGCTGCCGACTTACGATCGTTCGCCGCTCCTCGTTGTCGCGATGCGCGTCGCAAGGTTCACTCTATGGAGTAGATAGATTTCGAAGATGGACCCGTTGTAGGCTGAACGTGTTCCGCGGAACACGTCCGAGATCGTCGTATCGTTCTTTGTACAGATGGTTCGAACGATTTTCGTTATACGGAGTTCCATTGGATTTCGCAGGGGGGTGGGCTCGAGAGTGTCGTAGCGATTTCATTAGCGCGAAGCAGGACCCAGGTGAAGGGTGTAAAACTGCGATACGGTTTTATCGCTCGATCATTGTAGAAATGCGTGCTAGGTCTCTGAAGCTTCTCTTCTGGTTTCCTGGATAATTTTCGCGTCAGAAGGCTCCTCGAATCAGACGCTTCGGCGTCGGTGCAATTCCGTCCAAGACGCGAGAGTGCGTCGCGTCCAGTTAGGTGCGCGGGAACGCGTTAAATTCTTTTCTGCGGTGCTGATCGTTTTCGAAAGGGAAGGAGGAAATAAATAAATAAAGCGTGTCGAGAATTAGACGTATAAACGTTACGTTGGATTTATAATACCCTAATGCTTTGTTATCGGGAACGCGTTGTTCAGTGGACGTAAAATCGTGCGTCGTGTGCAGGCTGAATAACGAATCAGCGTGTCGGAGGAAGTTCCGGACGACATCCGACTTTCTTTTCCGGACGATGAATATCGAAATTCTCGATGAGGCGCATCACATCCGGTGTCAATGAAAGTACGGTTATTTTCTTTTCGTGTGTGCGTGCAGGGAGGATAGAAGCATCTCGTACGAAGCGCGAATCACGTTAGCTATGACCCTAGATTAGTATGCTGAACACCCGGTACATTAACGCTCAATTTGACGTAAATTTAGTCGAAATAAACGTTCTTCGGCCTTTTAACGCTTATTAGAATCTCGCTCGAGGTTCCAATCACGATTACCCTTAAAAAAGATTCAACCACTATAGGATGTATATTTTTAATTTATCGTCGACTGAAATTATCAATTATTTTCATCTCGGAAAGCTGCAATAAAATTGAACGTCTTTATCGGGTCGTTTCATAAATCTCTCCCTTTTTATCCAAATTACTCATCGTTTCAGGAGAAGCATCGATTTTTCCGTACAACCGATAGACCGTTTATTATAAAGCCATTTGCATAATTTCTTGTCGATTCTGAATTAATTCATCGATACACTGCTCTCTCGACAAATCCACTCCTCGGATACGTGGACGGCGAAGGCTTATGAAACGACCGGGTAGAATGCTAACTGCGAGAAAATAGCTCGCATAATTGCGTGCCAGGTGCACTAAAAAGATTTAACCAAATCAGTCGACGAGGTAAAATCGAGGCTACTTATGGTAACGTGCGCGCGCGCGCGCGCCCGGAGATCCTAGTACAGTTGTTAACGACAATCAGAACGATGTTTTGCCACGGCTGGCTCGTTGGGAAGAGTTTCAGGCAATTAACTCTTCTTTCGACTCGGTATCGCGAGTACAAGGCTTCTACGGACACCTGTCATCCTCGGGATAGGGTCGACCGGTACTTAACATAGCAGGTTTTCGGTACTTAACGCATTATCATTGTTATTCCGTTTATTATTCGTTATCCCACGATGTCGGTGCGTTATGGATAGGCTCAGGTAGCAGCGTTTTCCGACCATAGAAAATTCATCGACGCGATATATTCTTGGGAATCGATCGTGATCGAGCGACGCTTGTCGTTAGCCGGGCGTGTGATGGTGTTTTCAATGAAAACCGACCGGAGCGCAAGAAAACGTACGGTGCTCCGTTTCCAACGTATAAATCTAGTCCAGTCGACGCGTACTGTAAATGTATACGAGATTTACGTCCACGATGTACCGATCTATCCGGGTGAACAGAGACGAGGATGATCGATAGATTTTTCCGCGACCGATCGTTCGACTTTTCAGGAACAAACGAGATCGCGAAATTCATCATCCTTTATACGAAAATTGACAAATAGTTTTACGCAGGATCGTCGAGTACAAGGTATCCACGTGAATTTTATATCGCTCGTTCCCTCTATTCGACGATTCGCAAACTCAACGCGAGAGCAACGATCTCGAAAAAAGATGTTCCAGATGCTGGAAACAGATCGAAACTTTAGTCGCAATCTTTCTTTGTTCTTTTTCTTCTGTTTTAACGGAATTGGTAGCTCGTGATACGGGACGAGAGCGATTAGGAAAAGAAAAATCTTAGTAAATTCAGAAAATAGACGATTTAATGGCTGGATCTATACGTTAATCGAAGTCCAAAGACTTTTTCTACGATACGTGCTCTTACTTTCGGGACTTGCTTCGTTTACGAAACGAATGGGACTCGTAGAGAAGACACGTATCGACGGAAATTTTCGTTTATCAAACGAGAAAGGAGAGGCAGTTCTTAATCGTGCACTTAGGATAGTAACTCATGTGATGAATTACTCGAGGAGCCGTGTATTTTATATATATATATATATGCGTGTGTCTGTGAGTACATATGTACACACATCGGTATCTGTCCGGATATTTTTTTTTTTTTTTTTTTTTTTATATAAATCGTATTTATAATTATCCTTACGACGATGGAATCTCTTTTATTTATTTAAAGATCTGTAAATACGTTGTAAGTCGATCGATCGTCGCCGAGCAAACGAGGTTCAAGCGGAACCGTGGCGAACCGTGATTCAAGAATGAATATTAGATCGTTCGTATTTAACTCCGATTACGTCTCGATATATCAGTGATATCGATGGTACTTAATCATCTGCTCAAAATAATTAAAAGAATCGTCCACCCAAATAACTTTCTCCCGCGGTGAAGTTCGGTAAACTCCGACGCGTTATACTACCGATCGCGCCAGCTGTATCGTCGAACAGACATCGCCGTTTCGTCCGCGATGTTCGGTTTCTTTCGTCGAATAATTCAGAGACACGTTCTCTCTTAATCGTTTCGAACAGCGTATCCATTTTCCACCGGTCTAGAAAAACGATCGGAGAAAAACGGTCCCATTAACGTTTCGCTCGGCTCCATACAGTTCCAAATTGCTCGATTGTACTTTATATGTAACGAAATAGTACCTAGTTCGTGGGATTGGCGAGGCCGGAATCAAGGAAAAATCGAATCGTCCGTGCATTCCCTTTTCCTTTCATTCAAAGATCCTTATCAAGGCATCCTTAATTTTTCTTCTATCTCTTTTTCTTTCTTCTCTTCGTCTTCTTCGTTTTTTTTTTTTTTTCTTTTTTTTTTCTCTCTTTTCTCAATACTCATGTCGTTCAGGTCGAGGCGTTTCGCCTTTCCCTGGGACGAAAAAAAGTCAACGAAGAAACGAGAAATCGTAGTACGTGGGTGCGAGTCCGAGCCAGTAGACCCGGCGGTGCACGCTTGGCATTGTTGCGCATTGAATATATATATATATATACATCATTATATATATATATTTATATATACGTATTGTTGTGTGCATCGTACATTGTTCCGTAACGTGTTTGTACTGAAAGTGGCATGTGTAGTATTTGTTTGTTTTTTTTCTCTCTCGTAGATTAAGTAGCTAGTATTTAAAATACCTTTTTAATTTAAATTCCCAGGCGATCCATCCTGTTTTACCCAGCCCCCTTTCCCCGTCCCCTTCACCGTTTCTTCTTTAAGTAGAGAAAACCTCGGTTCTCGTCCCTCTTCACACATTATGCATGCTTACGTGTGTGTGTATGTGTTGTGTGTTGTGTTTTTTTTTTAATATATATATATATATTATCTTTTTTTTTTCCGTATCGCTTAAAATATTTGGAACAAAAGAAGAACAGGTACATATAAATATATTATAAATATAGAGTCTAGATAGATAAATAGATAGATAGATAAAGTAGATGAACGTTACGCGGAAGAAGGATGGAACGCGCGAACAGAGACGAAAACGAAAAAGCACACGAGAGCATTACGTGCAGGCGCAATAGTAATGGAGGAGATGAAACGAAAAAAGAAAAAAAAAAGATTTAAAAAAAGAGAGAGAGAGAGAGAGAGAGAGAAAGAGAGAGAGAGAGAGAGAGAGAGAGAGAAAGAAAGAGGAATAATAATAGTAATCGCAAAATCCGATGGAAATGTAATATCCGTGGTCTCTCCCGTCGACGCACAAAGTACAAATAATATAATTAACTTACAATTATGATAATCCTGAATACACACGGTAATCACGAATGTACGGCTGGCGTGCCTTAGTTTATGTATCACATGTGTAAATAGTGTACTGTAAAATACTGTGATAATATTTATATTACACGTACGTATTATATTGTTTCGCTTAATGATACGGTCCCATGACAGAGTGTTTGTCATCGTTTGTCAAACGATTACAATTAGCCGATATACACGCGAACACCAACGACGTTTGGCACCAGGTGCCAGTTGTTTGCGAACAGGTAGGTATCCGAGGAAGGACGAAAAGAAAAAAAAAAAAAGAAAAAAAGAAAAAGAAAAAAAGAGAGAGAAAAAACACCCGCCTGTTTTAGCGAAAATACCGTACGGATTACACCCTTTTACCGACTGATAATTCGTACCTTTTTATCCTACACGTGCTCGCCGCGCGGATCACCACGGTGATAACGATCACGACGACGATGAAAAATGTACAAAACTTGAGAAGAAAGGAATTTCTGCGATTAGGTAATAGTTTCGCGTGAAACGCTGAACTAGTTTGCGTCGAGATGATCAAAGAAACTGACCTCCATCGTGGAAGGTATTAACGGTCCGATCGAACGACTTTTAACTTGGTCTCGCGTAGTTAGTCGCATTGTCGTTTAAACGAGAAGTAAGATTTAAAGCGAACAAGTGTGCGATTCTTTTTTCACGTTAACGATCGTTGGATTTTCTCGTTGTCGCTTTATCGGCGAGAACATTTTTCACGCTTCTACTTTTCGTCTGTGCGTGAACGTAAGTACTTCTCGCGATTAGTCTAAAGGAGTTACTAGGTCTAGCCTAATAATGGTATTTGTTGTCTCGCGTAGTCGAAAAGCTACTTCGTTGTTTTGTAAATAACGTAGAAACAGCGGTATTGTTCAGAAACAGATAAAGGATAATTATTAACGCGATAGAATTGCTGTTATATTTTTAAGACGATTCGTTTCCCTCCACCCCTGGAGGGATTCGCGCGAAAAATTCCCGTCTGTGTACAATTGTCACAAGATACAGTCTCACGAAGAAGCGTACGTAGAACTTTGATGCAACGGTCAATTCCTCCGTGCGATAGATCACGAGGAAAAAAAGGGAAAAAGAAAAAGGAAAAGAGTAGCTATGTTAAGAGTTAGAACCCTCGAGCTGCGTTAAATTATACACGATTAAATGATAATTCCATTAACGTTGCGATCATTTTTGTAAAAAAAAAAAGAATATTCTGATCTGCTTGAAAATAAGACACCGATCAACAGCATTCCATTTTGCCATTCATCCTTTCAGCGTAACTCACAAGGTAGGTCTGCTTCTTGATACCCGCCGAGTACATTTGCAAATTTAATCGTATCTTTAAAAGCCACATCTCCTCGACATTCGAACGCCCCGCTTTTGACTTTAACTCTTTCAGACAGCAACCGTTTAACGCGCACGGAATCTCTGCTTTTCTCTAACTTCGATTCTCTCGAAACGCGGCTCCGTCGGTTACCTTTCGGCTCGCAGCAACCCCGTTACCCGGGGTCGACTACTAGCTTCCATAGAATCTTCCATCCACTATTGAAATGAAATCCAACGTCCTCTTTCGAACAGGCCTAGTCTGAAAGGGTTAAGACGCTATTTTTGCAAGTCTACGCGTGGAAAAGAATACAGAGTAACGAACGGGGGGGAAAAACGAGGACAAAACGAGAAGAACACCGCGTCGCTAGCTAGAACCTCATCGAAAGTTTGTCCACGATAATGGCAACGAGAAAAAAAGAAAAAAAAAAGGAAAAAAGGGAAAAAGATTGGAAAAAAGCGGTCGAAAGCTCTCTCCCTTCAGGTTGGTTTCGTACGGGGCACGTTTACGGCGGGGGTTCGAAGCCACGATTTACGATCTAACGACTTAACGATTATGATGCATTTCGCTAAGAGGGCACCCTGGTGGATCGCGGCCACGAGGAAACGACGAAGACAACGGCGGCTGGGTGGCTGGCAGGGCGAAAGAGAGAAGGGCAGAAACAGGTGGGGAGGAATGGCAGGGAAGGGAAAAGAGAAAGAAGGCGGGGGAAGAGAGGGAGAGAGCAAGAAAGAGGGAGAAAAAGAGAGAGAAGGTATGGAAGGTGGAAGCAGAATACCATATACGGTCACCTGCCTTCTATACACACCCGTGGTAATGGGGGGTACAAATACGACTCGGAAGTGATCGCCGACACAACGCCTGCTGCACGCGGACAAGGGTCGCGAAAGCAGCCCTCCGTGCTTTCGCAAATCCTTGGCGAACCGCCACGACACCGCTGACCAGCCGAGAGTCTCGAGCTTGCGACTTTGGAGGCACTCGACGCTCCGCCAGTCGCAAGCTCTCCTTTCCTCCATTTCCGCGTTTCGAGAAAGATGCCTCGTACGCTCGAATTTTCGGAAGGACACGCATTGGCGCGATAGGTTCGGGATACTTGCTCGATGACTAGACTCGATTTAGGCTACTCCTGGAATCAACCGTTCCACGACCTGGTCGCGAATACGTTTTTTCGTAAGCTCGGTAGGCAAAGCTGAGGACGTTTTTCGTTTTTCAGAGGTACTTTTCGGCAGTCGATTTTGCAACTCGCAAGTGGCAAAGGATACCTTTCAGCGCGCCGCAGACATAATCGAACCGTTTGGTGAATGACTGGTTGGAAAGTAGAGCAGTCTAATTAATCGACTCGGTTTCAACTATTTTTGGAATGTTGAACCCTTACAAGCGCGCCGGTGATCCCTTTCCTTGTTCTTTATTTTTCCGAGGCTAAAGGACGTTGATTTTTTCGATCGCGCGTTTCTCGGAAACCTCTGTTTCTTTCGTGTCAGTTTTCTTTCATACTATAAAATAGCGGACGTGATCGAATTCTGCGATCAGTTACCGATTCGAAAGCGGAGTAGTTTAATTAACGAACTCGAGCTATTTTCGGAATTTCAGTCCTTTAAAACGCACTCGCTCCTTCCCTCTCTTTCTCTCCCTCTCTGCCTCTCCCTCTCTGCTCATTCATACAAATTATACTCCACGTTTCGCTCACTGAAAATCGTTCCACGAAACACCGTACGACAATTTCGACACCACCACGGTACACCGCACATCCGTCCCCTCGGATCGTTTCAACGAATTATCCTGCAAAATCAATTCCATGTGATACACCGTGTGATACCTCGACTTGGAAGTCACCGTGGCACACCTGGACCGTCTGCAATCACTCAGGAGATCGAGCAAACCCATCCACCCGATCAACGAGACACCGTGGACGCGAGTCTGGATCCCTACCAAACCGCGTGACCATCGAACCGCCCAGGCTCTTCCGCGACAGCCGAAAGATCCGAGCACAGGCCGGGTCGAGCGGTTCGCCAAATCCGGACTTCCCCGTGCGACGATCACTTCCTAATCTCCCGAATTGCAGCGACTGCCGCGTAACCGATTTGCTTTCTCTCGAACGCGACCGGCGGTCGACACGTGTACACATGCGTGCTGAGGAACGAGTCGAAATGCATGTATAAAACGCATAGGTTGGCCGGCGGTAGGCCGTTGAAAAAAAGCTATCCGCCGGTGGTGGCGGTAGGCCGAGGGAGAGAAAGTCACCCGGGGAAACCGTAGTCCTGCGTAAATTTGTGAGAATCTCCCGTGGAAGCGCAGTACGAGTTCAGGCCGCGCGGATGGCCATATAAGGTGCGCGAACAAGCTCGCGCATCTCTCCCTGCTAGGTAGGTAGGTAGGTAAGTTGGTTCGTTGGTTGTTTCGTTGCCTGCTTAGTTGCTTGGTAGGCTCCCGTTGATTGATTGGTTAGTTGCCCGTTTGATTGGCTCGCCGATATTATTACCGAGGCGTTATCTACGATTTACAGGCTCGAATCGAGCCGCGATGCTCCTTCGCTCTTCTGCCTTGTTTTCTGCTTGTCGTCGCGTCGCTCGTTAGGCATCCGGAATTTACGGACCGATACAGATCGTACGTCATCCTGATAGCGTGTTCACCGCGACGTTGTCGCGAGATTCGCTGGCTACCGGTCGAGCGATCGATGATCCCGATGATGATCTAGTTTCGACTCGGTGTCACCCTGCTCAACGAAATGGATTTCGAGCTTTGGGTGAAGAGCAAGTTCTCCTCCCGTTGTCTTTCTTTCCTTTTTATTTTTATTTTTATCTTTTTTCTGTTTTTCTTGGCCGATTTGCATCGTTTAGGCGAGCGATGGGTAGAATTCTAGGAATAGTAGCGGTTTGTAGAACGAGGCAGGAGCCTTGTAACGATGATTCATAAATTTTGTACCAGGGCGACACGTTCTTGAGAAACTTTTAATGTATGCAAACAAAATTAAAATCTGATTCACGCCGTCTTCCTTTTTCTCTCCGATTTAACTATCGGTATACCGTGGTCTATGCCTCCCAAGTTCCACGGGTACTACTGCTAAGAGCTGTATTTTCGCATTCCGTACAACTCGCAAGTCGATCGGGCTACGAAAATAGAACGCGTAATTAACGGTAATCGCGTTTAAGATACATAAACGAGACGGTGGGCGAGAATTTCTTGCCAGATCGAACGAATCCACTCTTCGTACCGACAAATTTTCGTTTCACTGTTTCAGGAAGACGGCACTTCACCTAGGTCGGACGTCTGCGCGAATGAAAGCGACGGAGACACCAGCGATGGCGATTCTCCGGTGACGAAGGATCTCTCCAAGAATCACTCGGGTAAGTGTGGACGAAACAGCGAGAGAGAAAGAGAGAGAGAGAGAGAGAGAGGGGGAGAGAAAAGGTAACGAGATAAAATAAAAAGCATCTACCTATAAACATCCGAAAAACACCTACGTACCAAACCAAAGCAAACTTTCCTCTGATTCTGGCATGGAACTCGAACGGACAGTTTACACGCAGCACCATTTGCTTTTCCCTTAAATAAAGAGCGTATGGGCGACAGAGCTGTCGAGTATCCTCGATCCATCGCGACTTTTCCAATTCGAGGTACGAGCTTCCCTCGTGTCGTATCCTCCCTTGCGTCGTGCTAGAACAATTTCACCTGTCCGTCCGCGGATTCTCGGGCCCGCTTCAGCCGTACGCTCCGGCCGTACGAAAGACAATCGTACAGCTGCGCATACGTGGCGAGTAATTAACGAATTTCCCCGTGGGCGTAGCAGGAGTCGCGAGTCGCGGACTAAGTAGCAAGCGGTAAAAGCCGTGGCGTGGAAAATCGTTAGAGCCAGGCCGTAGGTAGTCGAGCAGAGGCAAACGTGCAATCCAATCAGTCAGGTAGGTCGGCGGACAGAGAAGGGGATATGCGTAGAGAAAGAAGGAGCAGGAGGAGTCGGTGGAGGAGAGGAGAGAGAGAAGGTGGAGAACGAGAGAATGGTATCAGAGAGGTAAACGTATATGATGCGTACGCGCGCGCGAGTGCGAGAGAGAGAGAGAGGGCAGGGAAAAGAGAGGGAGAAGATAAAGGAAAGAGGACACTTAAAATGCGAAAAGTGTGCGAGCGATGACGAGGTTATCCGTGTAGGGGAGTACATAAGGAGTTGTACGGGCCGCGATGACCAAACTAAGACAACGACGCGCTGCCTAACTGGGAAGTAAGATCCGGTCGAAAGCCGCGCTCCGATGCAGGTGTACACATAAATATCGATGCTAATATATGGAGTGGATGCCATCCGACTTACCGATCGCCAGCATGACGTACGTTTTTTTCGCCTTTCCATTGTTCCCCGCGGCCACAAACTGTCTCTCTGCGGAATTTTGATAACCACGCCACGCGTTCATATCTCCAGTCGACCACCGACCACCCCATCTTTTACCCCTCCATCGAGTTTCCATCGCCCCCTGTCTTCTTTTCTTTCTATCATCCACCTTTCCTCCCCTTTCTTACCCTCCGAATCTTCGCGAGATAGTTTTCGCGTGGCTCCACACCGCCGAAGCAAATTACTCCGAGTGGGTACTCGTTCTTAGGGGTACTCGTTGGTCCCGGAAGACGAAGACGATGATCGTCCTACGTGGACGTTTGCAAAGATATTTGTTTGTTACGCGTTCGAGAGACTCGAAAGAGAGGAAATCGTTAGATACCGTAAGATTCTTTACATCTAATATTTGGATAGATAGAAATGAATTATGTATATCGTCGAGTCGTATTAATATTCCGCCGAGACTGTTTGCCGAGGAAACTATGCTCTTCATCTTCTCGATACCGAGTCAAGTTCGGCGGAGTTTCGTTTCGATAAAAATGATCTTTTTGTCGCGGGTACGAAGACTCGCGATCGCAATGGTGGTACACGATGTACGCTAAAAAGACATGTCTCGGACGTAAAGTCTTATCGATTTATACTTGTCAAAAATCTCGCGACCACTTATACGTCTCTGTTTCATTCCGCATTAAACGCCGCGTTATTTCGTCTTTCGCGTCACGTCGATCGCGTAAACATATATTTTTAGCGATGTTTTCGGTATACGGCCGATCGATTCAAGTAGTAAAAGAAACCCGAAAAGCAGACGTCGTCGGTCATCGGCGTGTCCGTCATACCCCGCCTTACCCCCGATTCTCTCTTCATAAATTCCGAGAAAATAATATACAATCTGAAAACTTGTAATCCAAACGTTGCACACCGTAACCGAAGAGAGCAGTCTTTTCATAATCATTAATCATGCTTCGCATATAAACTCGTACCGCCGCTAAACTAGCAATTCCGTGTAATGCTCGATATCGCATCGCACCGTTACCTATGGATTATCAGTGTGTAATCGACAATAACTGTCAACGTTTATTCAACATAAATCGAGTGAACCTATTAACATTCCATTTCTCAAGGAAACGGCCGTGATTCTGCGCAGGTATAATGTACCAGATGCCGCAGACGGTAATTTACTCGCCGAGTCCGGGGGTTCTACTTGGCATCGGGCAAAACGGCCAGCCGGTGCAGATCTCTCAAGAAGGAGGTGAGAAACCATGATCATCCCCTGGAACGATCTCCCAAAAAACACATCCAGTCACCCTTCCGATTGCCGAGCGTTACGATACGATTATCCAGATGGAAACCGATACTGGTGCACACCCCGTTCTCGAGGGTTGCGCTCGTGCACACTTGCGACCGACGTTCTCCACGCGAAACGTAACCCGTCCTACTTCCTGTTTCCCAAGTAGAGGTTTTTTGGCATTGTTTCGCAGGCACGGTAGCCCCGGTTAACACGACGCAGAGTAATCAGCCGTTCATCACGATACCGCTGAACGTCGCTATGAGCGCCGCCGGATTGTCGCTTCCGGTCACATCCAGGATGAATCTGTCGCCGTCGCCGCGATCGCCAACGACCACGACGGCCACGTCCAGCTGCGAGCTGCCATCGGACCTGAGCAAAGATCGTGAGTGATATATCGCGGATCGAGCCTCGATTAAGAAAACCCTCCCCGAACTGTCGCTCGCCGATGCAACGAAAGACTTCACCCGACAAGATTGGACGGGACATCTTTTTCCCAAGCATCGTTTCGGTTCACCGAGGGAGGCCTGGGTGTATCGTCACGCATACGGAAACTCGAAAATTCTCGCGCCGAGCGTCCTCTCGAGCCACGAGATCACCGTCTCGATCGTCGATCCATCAACATCGATTCGACGACGATCCGAACGCGTAAGCCTTCCGGGATATCGATGATGGCTGCTGCCGGAATTTCTTGGTTACTCTACGATCGTACGATCTCGAAGATCGCCGATTCCGTCGACATCTTTGCACTCGAGGTGACACTCGCGACGGTAACGCGATTCGACGCTCGTCGTTGTCCCACGTGCTCGTTCCTATCTACATTTTTCGTATCCAATGATCGAAATTTTCCGATATCGTGTCTCGCGTCCAGTGAGAAGGAACAGCGAGTCGAATCGCGACCATAACTACGGCGAAGATCGAGCGCAAAGGTTGAAAATTCGGAATGGGGGGATCTTCGCGTGGGATTTTTCGCGTGAATTGCATTGATTCGATGGGTCGTATGAAATTATCGGTGCGTATATAGTTTTGGTCGACGTTGGTCTTCTCTGATCAGCGTTCAGGCCATATTCGTGCAATACTAGTCGAACATGTTGCCCGACAAATGTTCCACGAAGAATCCACCGTCTTTACACTGTCCTCGTAGAATCCACCGTCTTTCGGGGTATTTTCGCGTTTCGTGAGTCGTTAATCGTCGTTTTGCAATCGTTCGCGAAAAGAATCGATATTTTTTAACGTCGAGCTGTACGAGGGGTTGTTTACAGGGGTTCGTGAGGATGGGAGAGTCACGTGGGACGCGTTTCTTCAACGTGATTGTTAATTGGGTTATAGTGAGACGGATAATAATATGAGGAAACGAGTAACCAGCGAAACGTGGAAAATTTGCAATGGTATATTTTACACGCGCGTCAGTTACCAGGATTTTGCATCGTTCCTTTGTAGATCGCCTCAAAATGGTTGCGAGATTCGCATTCGACTGCGAGGATTTCTTCGCGATTCTCATCCTATCAAACACACGAATTCATTGGTTTAGGGTATGAAGGAAAAGAAAAGAGAAGAGAACGGAAATGAAAGGCATCGAAAATCGATGATTCGTAGGGCGACGATGACTTCTTAATCGTACAGGGTGCTTTTAACGATAATCTATAAGCTGGCGTTATCGTTTCTTTGAAACTCTAGAGAGGAGAAAGTATTCGATGTATTTTTTAACACGAAAGTGCGATTAGCCAAAGACCCGTTTGGTTTCCTTGGATTGTACATTCGATTTTATCGAACGTTTTATTTATTAGCTCGTAATTGAACAGTGATTCCTCTCGAAACAAGGACGTGTTCGCGGTGATGTCGAATACTATGAATTACCCGGATTCCTCGTGAACTCGAAATGAAAACGCGACAATGGTGTTTCGAGACCGATGAATTGGTCAGTGATAGCATATTGGCAATCCTAAACGTTCGTTTCTACTGCGACGGTGTTGATCGTTAACCGTAAAACAGCGATAAGCATGCATTATTGTCAGCCAAGTAGATTTAGCAGTATTTTTAATCGCGCAATCTCTATTTTACGCGACATGGAAATAAATTATCAGCTTCTGATAGATAACACGCGGGAACTTGTATTTTTCTTTTTGCGATACACCTACGAATACGATTTTATACACGGATAGTACTATCAAGCTTGTCAGAGGAATTTTTTCTTCCCGTTTGCTCGGATACCTTAAAAAGTTTCGTTTTCGCGGTTTCCTTTTTACCCCATTTACGATAAATTTCAACGTCGTTTCACCGGAATAATTTCTTAAATGTTTCATGGATAAAATAAATCGGTCTCGTTGAATTATGAAAATATTCTGATATTTTGTCCGTATATTTTGAACCCGTACCTGTTTAATAAAACATGCAAGAAGGGAGAAAAAGGAAAAATGTTGCTCCTGCAAGAGGAAGCAAAAGGAAAGTGTACTTGTTTGAAAAATTATCGAGTTTTTAACGCGTTTATGTCCACTTGATATTATTTCATAGTGCCTTCCTAGAGTATTAGAGGACGTAGAAAGAAATTCGAGAAGAAGAAACCAATATTACATTTATAAGTACTAGCTGCTCGTCAGAACGAATCTTTTCAAGCAAAGATAAATGTATCACGAATTTCTTCGATTTTTCTTATTAGATAATGCTAGTCAAAGGATTGTACCTAGTCAGTGAAATGCCGAATGAACAAGCATTTAATTTCTGTATCGTAACATTGCTCAAAATAACTGGAGGATCTGGTCAAATCACTTTATCCAAATTTAGAACCATGATCGAGTATTCGATGAAAAATTTGACGAAACTTTGAACGGAAAGAATCGAATTGGAAGAACTTGGAGAATTTTATTCGGCTGAAGACAATTTCTTCGTCTCTAGATCGTTTCTAATTGCTTGAAATTAATTATTAAAATTGCTTTGAGCAATGAACGCGTTGTATGGACTGTCATAAGAACGAGGGACTTTCGATACGAACGATAGTACGATCCGTGGGATAATGCGAAAAGTTCTTATGCCAAAATCCATACATGTTTATCTGAAAGCAAATACCGTTATCTTATATCATGCATTTATCGTGGATATCTTGCAAGTATCACATTTTATCCTGTACCTTTCCAAATTTTCGACACTGACCTAGTCAAAGGGATTAACAGAAAGTCAGGCATTTCTTTCCATACTTTACCCTGTCGTTGATCAAAGCAGCATTAAAACTACCGCGAGTCCGATTTCGTTTCGTTTTACACCTTTCTCGATCACAATTTTACTTCACCTTCGGTGATTGTGTCATTTATTCTCGATAAGAACAAATGCGATCGAAAAGATGATTACTGCTGCGAACAAAGCATAAGCCCTGTTCGTGAAAGACTCTTCGAAACTTCATCTTTATATAATCTTCGATCCCTATTGTAAATAAACGATACTACCAATTTCTTACAAACAGTTGCAATGTACATCTGCGTACAAACGATTTTGTCATTCTGTGAATAGGCAAAAGCAATCAAACATTCTATTTTATCTTCGTTCCTTTTCGATATTAAGAAATGATTCATACGTTATTCCAAGACAAGAACGATAGAAATCAATCTTCATGCTTCCACGTGCAATAATTGCACCAATCACTACCGTAAACGATTCTCTTCTGTAACGAGAAATATCCGAAATGCTGACAAGGAGAGTGCAAGTCCTTCGTGTTATTTAGTTGAAACTTTGCAGGTTTGTAGATTTAGTCATCCAGTTCAAGAAAATGTACCATTATAAGGGCAACTGCTCGATAGTTTTTGAGATATTTATGATTATAGCATTCTTATCTTTAACTAGAATTTTCTTCCGAATAGTTATCGATAGTTATTAAGTGGCATTGTGAACGAACAATATCCGAAAATTGCCATCAGCATGAGAATTTTCGGATATCGCCATTAGGCCACAACGAAACTTGATAAATATTCCGAATAAATCTGTAATTAAGGCAATAATAAAACTCTAATCGTAAATATCTCGAAAACTATCGAGTAATTGTCCTTATAATGATACATTTTCTTGAACTGGATTACTAAATTTATAAATCTGCAAAGTTTCAATTAAATCGATGACCCAAAGGACTTGCACTCTCCTTGCGAGTTAAAAGGGCTCCCTGAAGATAAAGTATACGTAGAGGATGCACACCGATTGATTCGAATGCGGATGGAATTCTCTTTAACTCGGTGTTATGTAAATTAACGCAGAAAAGATGAAAGAAGAACGAGAAAATTCGTGCAACTTTCTGCATTCGCGTATCGCACAAACGCATACATTTTAATGCCGATGCAATATTGCAGGGTACGTAATTATAGCGCGTAAAATGTCCGCTATCCGAGAGTGATTTTACGATCAGCTATGAAAATAATACTTGCAACAACTGAAGTATTTATAAATTGTTCGCTGGGCAAATAATGGAGCAGAATAATTCGAGCGTTGCGACTTGAGTGTACATATGTAATTACGGTGAAACCTTATCGAAATGCCAAAGAAAGCCGGATGGGATAATGCGTGAAAGAAAGAACACGAGTAATTAGTTTGAAAAGTGTCTATTTTGCTTTTAAAAGTATCTCGTTTTCTTGTTACCAGCGTCTAACGAGTGTTCTTTACCTTCTCCTTCTTTTATCGTTTGTATCTCTTTACACTCGGTGCAATGAAATTACGAAACTTCACGATATTGTTCGTTATTATTGTTTCATGGTAAGAATCGTTAAACGTTACGGGATGTTAGGTTCTGAATATAAAGACGAGCAATTTTCGTTTCTCAAAGATGAAGAATAACACGAGGATAATGCCTGGTAAACCTTATAAAGAACATTACCTCGAAAATTTCGACGACCATGAGTGACTCGAGCTTAATGTTTGTATAGTAATAGTGAAATTCGAATGTTTCGCGTGTACACAGGGAATCGAGATTCTCTGCTACCTTCGACGAATGGCAAAGTTAAATGCGTTCTATTTTATATACAACGTGTATACATATATAATTGTGTAACATGTGCTGCGAGGGTTGTTTCAATTTTTCTGGTATTTTATAATTTTCATATGAATAAAGGAATTTTAAGAATATCGCAAACATTTTATATAATTTCATCGAGAATAGAACATCGGCTACGAGATCTCTAATTCATCGAGTATATACACCACGTATTGTATCTTAAATGCCTAATACCCACCTTGTCTCCAAACTTTCCTTTATTTTTCTACACTTTTCGAAGCATAATTCGTAACAGATCGATTTCATTAGCAAAGAAAATCATTTTTTGGAAAATATTTGATAAACTTTGATACTTCTATATAGCGAAGCGAATCGAGCAAGTCATATCGTTAGATTACGAGGACCGTTCAATGCCTTAACTGTAATATTATACATGAAATTCGTCGATAAAGAAATTTCCGATATTTGAAAATTTGTATATGATGAAAAAAAAAAAAAAAAGAACAAAATGGTGCTGCAATCGTGTGAAGAATAAAATTCGAACAACCCTCGGATATACGTGAATTGCAATGTTTTCTTTTTTATTACTTCTCTACTGTAATACTACAGCATGAAGAATGTTTGTAACCGAATGTTGTAACGAATGAACATATGTAAACATATCGCTGTTTTTTACACTAACTTTACGTAATATACCGACCGTGTGGCATTGTTAAAATTGTTACGAAGCATGCGTTGGATATGAAGAAATGAAATACAGTTATACGAATCACAATTTTTGTGTACACAGTGGGTCTTGCGTAAATTATGTGAGCAAGAAATTATTATTCCCGTTCCTTCTTATATATATAATGGTATTTCTACTTTTTCCTTTTCTTGTTCTCTGATTAACCAATGTACATTCGCTAGATATAAACTGTATTGTTACTCTGAAAAAAAAAAAAAAAAAAATATTTCTTTGCCTTCGCTATTTTGAGATATGCTTTATTATTGTTACGAAAATTATTGTTACATTGTTATATAAAGCATCGATTTATTACGTTAAATGTTAATCGCGAGAAAGTATTTAAAATGCTGAAAAAAGTAATATTTTGTAAATTAACGTAGCTTTTCTTAATTAGTTCAATCGGGAAATGGTAATATACAAATGTTGATGGACTCGCAAACGAGTGGTAACTCAACTCACTGTGCGCATATTCCCAAGATGCTATGAATGTATAAGTGCATCAAATCTCGAAGTGCATCATCTCAATAAAATTTGAATAGAAATCAGAATAATTTGTTCTTTATTTGCTAATTATTGTACGTCAATTGAAGATACAACAAAATCAAGTTTGTTATGTCATGGTATAATTAAAATACATTAGGCTAAAATGTAATTTTCAAATAAAAAGTGCAATTTACCTGTTATTACAGTAAACGTTTCCTTTCCACTGTTCGATTGATTTCTTTTCGATATTTTTAAGCAATTTCATCGTATAAATGGAACATTTTCGGACATATTAAATAACGTCTTGAGTATGAAACTTTAATATAATAAAAATTATATCGATAACCTCTAAAGATCTAAGAATTTAAATTTGAGAATTGAATCTAAAATTTAAATCGATACAAGAATGCATAAAGCATTCCTTTGAACAATGTTGGTAGCAAGCAGAGCTGCCAGGCGTGCGCTATATTCCCCTATTTCGAACAGGAAAGTAGGGGAAAAGGAGTAGGAGTGGGGAATGACACCGTCCGACTTTGCGTCCGCGTCACTAACGCGGCAGATGTACCATGGGAGTGGGGATGTATTGCTTCGTGTAGGTTATGCAGCGTGTGAAACCACTGAAAGAACGCCAGACGCGTTGCATCACCCTCGTCCTCGCCGTCGCCGGTGTCCCTATCCCCACGCCCACGCTACGCCGTTCCCCACTTCTAGTCCTCTTCCCCTACTTTGCTGTTGAAAATAGGGGAATGTAGCGCACGCCTGGCAGCTCTGGTAGCAAGTGTCGCGGTGTAATATACCGTCATGGCGACGTTATCACCGCACAAAAATCCACCTTCGACGAAAATTTTGAAACATCATTTATCCCTATTACAATCGCTTTTACAACAGGGTTTTTATAAAACTGTAGCGTGAGTATTGTAAAATAATCACAAAAGACTGTCGATATTTCGTTACTACCCTATGAACAATTTCGAATGATTACATTGCATTCAGTGTAAACAAACAGCTGTCAAACATTAAGTATCATTGTTGTTTTCTTCATTTTTTTTGTTAAACTATGATTATCTTATGGCTAACATAAACATTTAAGGTTTATATATTTTTATCGTTATTTTCATTTAATTCTGCTAAATTGGTGTAGAAATGTACTTAATTTCATAAACATTTTATATTTTCGTTATGCAAGGAAAACATGACTGGTGGCATTAATATTTACAGTACAATTTGTGACAAATCAGATAAATATTGTATTGTTTGTAGGGAGAAAGCATTAGCTGCTACAGGATATCGAGGTGTTCAACTTGCAATTGATTGGATAGTAGCTCATATCTCTGATCCAACTTTACGTACTGATACTCACAGACAGTATGTTTTATATGCTTGTCCCACGGGTGAATTGGCTGAACAACTAATGAAATTTTGGTCACAAAGTAAAGAACTAATATGGAATAGAGCGCATAATTATATGCCACATATTACGCTTGTATCATTTTTTAAAGTATGACATCGTGTTAATGATATGTATAAATAAAAATCCTAAACTAATGTAAACATATGATTTACAGGCAGCAGATGAATCTACAGCAGAGTTGGTAAATGCTCTTGAAAGTGTAGTTAACCAAGATGAGTTGTTGGATAATATAGAGTTAGAAACTTATATATCTTCTAATTTCATGGGTCTGTTTGTTAAAGTAAATGCAGAATATTTACAAAATATTGCCATTCAGTATACAAACAAATTGTCAAGTTTAGGCATATCTGCAGAACCCAAAGTAAAACTCTTTCATTTGACATTGGCCTATCAATTTCCCAGTAATTTATATCAGCAATTGCGCTTAATGGTAGAAAAATTAACACTCTCTTGTCCAACTAATTGGGAACTCAGATTGTATTCCAGAGATTCTAGACTACAAAATGCACATGTACATAAAGTGACACATGCCAATGATACTACAGATTGTAATGAATTACAGTTAAGAGTAGGAGATTACATTTACATTCCAGAAGGAGCATGTAGTGCATCTACAGATGGTTGGGTCAAAGGTATCTCTTGGTTAACTGGAGCTTCTGGCCATCTACCTCTAAATCACACAATACGTACAGCTGAATCAGATTCATGGACTTTACACACTACTATACAAATTACTGGCAGTAAAAGAGAAATTTTAGATAAAGAAGAAATACCTCTAACTCGTAAACCACCAGTATTGTTAGCAAGTAATTCTATAGATAGTCCTGATGGAGTAGCAACAACTAATGAACCAGTAAATTACATTAATCCTTTATTAATTATTTAATCATTTATTCAATTACAAAAATTCTAATTTTAATTACTTTTTATCTGTGTATATACATATATAGATTGAAGCTTCTGAAGCACCTCCAAGTTCCTCGAGACAAATTTTTATATGCCGCCATGGAGAAAGGGTAGATTTCACATTTGGAGCATGGATTCGTTATTGTTTTGAATCAAATGGATCCTATGTTCGTAGAGACTTGAATATGCCAAAAGAAATACCATCGAGAAATATACAGGACTTCCGGAATGATAGTCCTTTAACAACTGTAGGTGAAGTGCAAGCGAGTTTGGTAGGAGAAGCTATGAAATCATCTAGTGTTAAAATAGATGTGGCTTTTACATCTCCATCGTTAAGATGTATCCAAACATTGGCCCACATTTTGAAAGGACTAGACTTAAACATTCCAATGAAAATAGAACCAGGTTTAATAGAATGGTTAGCATGGTACCCAAATGGTATTCCAATTTGGATGACATCTGAAGAATTAATAAAAGCAGGTTTTAACATAGATAAAACTTATGATCCAGTTATCAAAGTAAACGAGCTTCCACTGAAAGAGAATGCAGCTCAGTATTATGAACGAAGTTATGAATTGATTAATCGAATTATTGAAAATACAGTAGGAAATATTTTAATAGTAGCCCATGCTGCTTCTTTAGCAGCTTGTACCAGACAATTAACAGGTGGAAGGATACCACCAGCTTCCGAAGTTACTAGATTAGCACAGAGAGTACCATATTTAGCATGTTTAACGGCACGTGAAGGATTGGATGGTTGGCAAATTCATCCACCTCCCTTTCCACCGATAACCCATACTAGTAACACTAGGTTTGATTGGAAAGTATTATTATAAAGAATAATTAATATTTTAAATACAGTTTTTTATTTTTTATTCTTTAAGGTGTAAAAATCAGCTTAATCATGATAGATACAATGAACTTTTTATAATATTTTAGTCTATACGACGTGCATTAAAAAGAGAGAAAAAATATGAAGAGAATTATTTTTTGGGTTGGGTTATTTATAATGTAATAGAAAATGCCAGTCGTTTATAGAATGTTTAAAAAGAATTAACATTTGTAGGGCAATAAATATGAGTATTAATATTCAATTCTATCTTTTCTATAAAGGACTTACAATATGTCTTTGAAGAGAATGTATAAATTAATATTTTAAAGAAAGATATATTCTCATAGATTTCGTACTGAACGTCTAGAAAATTCGTAGTAAAACGATATTTTATAGTATTTACAAGTTTTGACAAAAAAATATTAATAAAAAAATCATAAAATTAAGAAATTTGTTATATCATAATTTTCTTTAATATTGATTACAATTTATAGAAGTTTAAAAACTTATCATGTCAATTTATTTATACAAATTTTTTAATTTGTGTCTATTTCAAATGTATTATTATATATGTACTAAAAAAGTATTAAATTAAATGTGATGTCTGTTGCAAAATATATAGACACATTAAAATATAATCAGGTTTAAGGCCTATTACTAATATGTTTAGTAAAGTTTGCTCCATTACTACAAAAAATTGATGTGTATGAAAATTACAAAAATCATTAAATAATGAAATCTTCCTACACATTGTAGAAGCCTATGAAATAATAGTTGGCATGAATAATGTGTGAAAATGTAGAAGTACAAAATCAATGTAGAAAAATAATGTTATTTACCAAAGAAATATATAAGATGTTATTTCATTACAAATGCCGGTTATATCATGATGGGACCTATTACTTTATTTGCTGCTAAAAAAATTTATTCAAACATAATGTATAGCATCTCATAATGTATAAAAAGTTGTTCTATATATAACAAAGTTTATTAAAAGGTATAATAAATGTAAAATATCATAAAATAGTTTTAACAAGATTTTTCAGTACTAATATAATTATACATGTCCGCTTTCCTTTAACTTTGTAATTAATGTATCAACATCTGGTACAATAGCTCCAGCTTGTCTGACTGGTGGTTCTTCAACTGATAATATTTCAATTCTTGCTGCAGTATCTATACCAAGATCTTTTGCTGTTATTTTTTTAATTGGTTTTTTCTTAGCTTTCATGATATTTGGCAGTGTTGCATATCGTGGTTCATTAAGGCGAAGATCAGCACTTAAAACTGCTGGCATTTTTACTTTAACAATCTCTAAACCTCCATCAACCTCACGTGTAACTGTTAATTCATTGTTATCCTTTTCAATCTAATGCAAGAAAATATAATTCAAATTAGAAAATTTTTGTTTTACAAATTAATTTTTTGTGTTACTATTTAATAAATACTTCTAAATAATATCATTTCAGATTATAATTCAATTAACTTACTTTGCTACAAAATGTTCCAGTTGGCCAATCTAAAATACCGCCAATCATTTGTGCAGTTTGATTACTGTCATCATCTATAGCTTGTTTTCCTACAATAATTAAATCTGCTTTCTCCTCTTGTGCCAATTTGGCTAAAATTTTAGAAACATGAACAGGTTGTAAAGTTTCATATTCAGGTCCAGATACTTCAACATGAATTCCTTTATCAGCACCCATTGCAAGTGCAGTTCTTATTACATCTTGAGATTGAGGAGGTCCACATGAAACTGCAATTATCTCCTGTACTAATTTCTTTTCTTTCATTCGTACAGCTTCCTCAATTGCAATTTCATCAAATGGATTCATTGAGTGTTTTATTCCATCTGTTACAACACCTGTCTTATCTGGTTTAACACGAATCTAAAAATAAAGGATAAAATAAAAATATAATAAAACATTGATAATATATAAAACAATATATCTTAAGAAAAAAACAATATTTAGAGGTATTTTGCTACATAATATTAATTTTTATTTAATATAACTTTGAAGTTGATTTATGAATTATATAACAGGCATAACATATTGTACTATAATTTTCAACATTTTTTATTTTCATACTTTTTATCATATTATTGATAGCTACCTTAACTGCATAATCGATAACTCTCTTTACACCTACAAGTGCTCGTGCCATTGTTAACTAACAAACAGATCGATAAATTATAGAACTAAAAGTTATAATTAATCTCTTGCCATAATACCTATCAAAATGTTTATAAAACTACTCAGTTTCTCTTATATATAGTCGGACAACTCGATTGACTTGTTCGATAGTTCGCTTGACTACTTGGTAAATGGTCTAAAGTTCATTTCTCCTTTGATATATTAAATGAATACGTATTTTGTTGACATCTTTTCATACAGTTCGCGCTAATATGACTCAAATATCATAATATAGTTGCTTCAGACTCTAAATTATAAAATTTCATTTAAAGTTAAATAATTTCTAAATTGTTCAAGAAATAAAAGAATAAAAATAAACATTCAAATTTATAAGTGGTAATGATGTAAATTTGGATTACTTTTGATTGGCTTATTTATATAAACAATTAAGAAATTACAGCAAGCCTGCCTTGCAATTGTAATAACTTGTTCCATGGATATTAATTTATTTGTAAAGAATAAAACAGTGAGATTTGTAATTAAATGTATATTTATATTATCGGAGACATCTTTATCTTAAATACACCAACAATTTTTGATAGTATCTTTCATTTTTTTCCTTTATCCCAATATATTATAAAATTAAGGCCATTTTCAATTTCTCAACATGTAAATGGAACGCACATGTATCTTTTTTAAATGAAAAAATAGAGAAATGAATCATGCATTTTATTTTTATCACTACTGCCTTTTATAAATTATTTTTTCGAACTATCCATTTAAACTTCTTTAATCGACGTTGTAATTATAAATTTTAATATCGAGTTCTATTCATTGATGGAATTTATTAATATTGTAATATAAATTAAGCTGTTAACGTTAAAAACAATATTTAATACGTTTCAATTCTTTCGGAATAATACACGAACTATGTAGAATAACGAAATTTTTGAATATCTATATGAATTTTCAGGAACTCAATAGTAAATCTTAAATCATTATTTTTTACCAATTTATATATAATACTAGTTGAAATATTTAACGAACCCTTTTTTAAAAATACAATATCTTTAATAAAGCAAAAAATTGAATTTTCGTAATATTTGCTTCTATAGAATGTTACTAATAAATATATGATTTTTAAATTGATCAAATTTTTATTACAAACTTATTCTAGCAAGTAAAATATAGCAAATGCTCAAAAATATTTATATTTAATTTTCATATTCTAATAGAATTAGAATAAAAGAGGTTTTGAGCGATCACTATGGAACCAATCAGAATGAATATGAAATCAAGTTTGCGCCACACATGGCGTCCAAGAACCGACGCCATCTAACGTCTGGCATTCCTTTTTCCTGTTTTTTTCGTGCGGGTAAAATCACGGCTTTCTATAGCGCGCAAGCCTTTATCGTTTTGTTTTGTAGAATTCGGTAAGTTAAGTGGATATCTTTGATAAATCGACTATGCTACGCGTATGCCGAATGAAATGTTAGCTGAGAAAAAGCGTTCACGCGTCAAAGAAAGTGTGTGGGAAAATGAGTTAACCGTGTGTTAACGCGCAGTGGTCAACTATCCGTGCAAGTTTAGCAAAGGAATATATATCCATATTCAAGACGTGATAACGTCAAGGTAATTACATGTTAATCTTTAAAATTGCAAATATGATATTAATTCTCCAAGTATTTACAAAATTTAAAGCTATCGAAAGTTTCCTTCGTGTTTATGTTTACTCCTCTAATTACCCCCTCCCTCTTCAGCCACCCTCTGTGCCTGAATTCTTCCTGAGATTCTCCCTCGTTTTCTTCATACTTTATATAATGTTTTCCTTTTATAATTTTGCTTTTCTTACTATTTTTTTATTATCATATGGTTTTACTTTATTTCATCTGGTTGTTATTACATTGCTTTCAATAACCAAACTTTGAAAAGTGAAACACTGTTTATATGTTAAGATATGAGTATTACTTTGTTAAGTTATATATGATATTCTTTAACCTCTTAATGAGTAGAGCTACTATGCTACAGAATGAAAAATAATTATAATTGAGTAGTTTTGCAAAAGTTATTTATATATGTATATACGTATATACGTATATCATAATATCTTTATGTAACAAATATATCATATTTACATATAGCACAATTTCACTTAATTGACATTACTTTTTTATAAGTATTTAGAAAGACGTATTTAGTCATTGAAAAATGAGTGCGTCGGCCTTAAAATCAACGATACCTGGAGTAGGTACCTCCCCAACTTCTACCAGTCATTCTATTCTTCCTATGAATGCAATGGCACAAAAAGTTGTATCAGGGTCAGAACCAGGATCTATGAAGCCTTTACCAGGAACTGGATTAAGTTATGTTACATTACAACCACCCAGTCAACCATTGAGCTTAGTACAAGATCATAGACCTTCTGTATATCAAACTCCACCTTATGTAAGCAGCAATTCTGAGAAAGAAGCAGACTTGGATAAATTAATCCCTAACGGAGTAGAGATTATGAAAACTGAAACAGAACAGAACTTGTCTGTTTCTATAAAGCAGAACGAATCTAACAGAAATAACAATCTGAGTCCAGATAATCCTTCACAAGATTCACAAAGAGAAGTTCAAACAGAACAGGAGATGACATCTATTAATTTAGATTTTCCTGGTTAGTAAAAATGTAATAAATTTTATAGTAGTTTAAGTATTCCATTCATTTTGTATCATATCTTATTGATTGTTTTGCTGTAACATATTTCTATATGTATAAATGAATATGATAATTCCATAAGATTTGTATGCTTTATGTTGAATTTATTAATATTTAATGCATGTAACTATAAACATAATATTCATATCTATATCTATGCATACATACATATATGTTACTTTAGCATTATGCCCACCACTACAAAACAAAGTTGAAGAAAAGAAGACTCCTGTAAATAATGGTTCAAAAGAACCTGATGGTATTCCAATTAACACAACTTTACAAACAAAATTGTCATCGCATAAATCAGAAGATGTATCAGTAAAACCTGATAGTCAGAAGCCAAAAGTCGTGACTCAAAGCACGAAACTTATAACTGATAGTTCTGCATTACCACAAACAAATAATCCACCAAAGGTTGAAACAAAGATCACTGGTTCACCAAAAACAAATAAGAGAAAATCTAGAGAATTAAAAGATTTAAAAGGAGCATCGGCAACTTCAGATGGAGCAAGCAAGCCAAAAAGAAATCGAATTCAAACACAGCCTTATCAAAGTCCATTACCAGAAATTGCATTACTTGTGAAAAACTTAAATAAGCCTCCACCATCAAAAGCTTCTGATGACAAACTTATAGTATTCTATAAGTAAGTATAATTCATATGATGTCTTTCAAAAATGTAAAATATGATGTAATGATGAATAATAATAAAAAGTTTCAACTCTTTATATAAATTTTCATTCATAAATATAATACTTTATGTTGGTTTCTGAATATACATATAAGCAAAATTAATAATGCTACCACATGCATTAACTTTTATTGATATTCATTATTAGAAATGAATTTTTGGCTGTGAGAAATGCGGAAGGAAGCTTCTATGTGTGTCAAGCAATGCAAAATATATATAAATCTAGCAGAAGAATTCGTATACGTTGGCTTTCCCAAGATAAAAACAATGGAGAAATATATTCACCAGATTTTTATGATTACATAGGTAATCTTATGTAAAATTGCATTTATAAATTATAATTATTAAATTTGTAAATAGTTTATGAAAGTAGTTATTAAATTAAAGTTCATTTTATATCACATTCACTTATTATTTTCTTTTTTAAAATTTCAGATTTTGATTGTATATTAACAAATTTAAATTTGAATAAAATTGATAAAAATAAATTTCAACTAACCAAAATAGAATTGTTACGTACAGAAAATATTTTGAAAAGAGCAATTGATGTTGAGGCTGGTGTATCTGAGAAACCTCGGGTAACAGAAGAACATCCAGATGGACGTTAGTATTTTTATACTATTTATATGATACTACACAAGATGATTTTATAAATGGATTTTATTAAAATCTTATCTCTATTTTAATTTTAATATGATTTTATTGGTAATGTTTAGTTTATTCAGTTATTTTCTATTTTAATGGAATTACTACTTTGATATTACCTATTTATTATTTAAGTCATTGAAACTTTTTAAAAGTATTTTATGAAATTGAAATTTTAATATCTTATCCACAGTTGACCTTTCACTTTATAAGGATGAATCACAATTGAAGAGAAGAAAAAGTCACAACTTACATAAACAAAAGCAAAGTTTACGTAAGAAATCAAAACGAACTGAAAGCTACTCCGAAGATGATGTGGCTGATGAAGAATCAGGGAAAAAATCACCAAAATCCAGTCGTTCTAAAAAACGAACGGTTAACAAGGCTTTGGCAATTGCAAAATCAGTTGCAAAAGGATCTAGTAGAGCAGAAAGAGCTTTAAACAGAAATACAAAGTCTGGAAGTGAAGCTACTGCTGCTGCTGCTACTACTAATAGTACTGCAACTACCACTACTACAGTAACCACATCCACTACATTAGTAGATGCAACTAAAAATAATGCTGATATTAAAAAGAGTGAAAATAAAAAGAGCACAAAGCAACAGAATAATAATAACACGAGTGGTGTTTCAAGGACAAAACTACGTGGTAAGTAGGTGTTCTTAGTATGATTTTTATATAATTCCAAAGACTTTTATTTATGATCATCAAATACATGATAATATTTAACATACTAATATGGTAGTGGTATAATTTTCTTTAAAATATCATAATTTATTTTTCAGCATCTGCCCAAAACACACAACAAAGTAACAAAACAGCAGGTCGTCCAAAGCGTATGGCTGCAACCACAGGTGTTGTGTCCACCGACGAAGCGACCCCTCGAAAAAAACCACGTGGGCGAGCATAAGATTAACGTAATTTACTTGTATTTCCTGTACTACATCTAGAACAGAATCTGCATCGTAGGCAATATGTACACGTAGTACACTCTTTAAAAATTGCGATCGATTTATAATGTAATATATATGATCTCAAGATTCTTATATCTATCAGATGCTGCATTATATTATAGTCCAACAATGTGGGATCAACAATTTATATAACGATGCGGCAAGTCGCATTTAAATGAAGAAAAAAAAAAAAAGACTCAGAGACTTATAAGAGTGATATTGTGATATCATACAAAATTTGTACATATCGTCTACGTTTCAGATTCCTACAGGAGAAGAAAGTCACGGAATGTGTATGAAGAACGGTACCTTGGTTGAGTAATAACTATCTACAGGGTGTCACATGCTAATGCACTCTTGCAATAGTCTATTTTTGATGTTGTGAGTGAATTGTACGTGATTCAGTTGAGTTTAATGTACACTTTCCATTGGATATGATAGCTATGTACAAATATATATATCTGGGGCTTATAATGTACTCTATGAAAAGATGAAAACACAAAAGAAAATAGAGTACTAGAGAATGAGAACAATCCGTGAATTATCGATCTCCAAGTTATGGGTCGGTAGATTTAGAAGTACAATATCTGTACATTATGCTGAATCCTTGCTGTTTAAAAAATAGCATATAAAATGGTCCAGCGCCTATATTAAAGACAGGCAGAGAAAAAAAGTGCCCTCAACTGTAAATCCTTGTCCTGTTGTTGAATCTATGGATTCATAAAGAAAGAACCTTATGGCTGGAGATGTAACGTTTTAACTGTAGTTTATTTTTGAATCATTTATGTCAATGAATTGCTAATATAATTCATTGTTATAAAAAATGAAGAGGATCATATTAATTACGGTGGTGTCAAACTATAATTTAGCCACTTAAACATATTATATTCCTTTCTTAAGAAAAAAAAAAAACAAACAAAACAGCACTTATTTACTCTGATAAGTCTGGATTAAAATGTATAAACTTGCTTTATCTATGTATTATTTTATTTTTTCAAAGATTATGGACAAAGTGTATATTTACTGAGAGATAGTTGATTATGATTTACACTTCACCAAATCTAAATTCGTATATTTTGATGTAGTTTATAGTTTATATTTTGTGTCAAACTGTATTATTGGGGATACAAATTTGTGTCAATATTCAGAAAGGGGATTTATGAGAATCAATTTATTACGATGTATATTGAACGAAGGTATCGAGGCATGTATTTGTTTTCTACATTATAGTGATACAATGACATACCTTATATAGTTATTTTACATAAAAGAAGCCTTTGGTTTTTAGAAAAACCGAAGGGCAAATTGTATTAATTGAAATTGTATGCTTTTTTTCATTGAGAATTCGGTCGCCGAAGTTGCATGCATTTATTTAATGCATCGGCCGTTGAACATTGCACAAACATAAATGAGAAAGTTATTTCTCATTTACATGATTTTATCTATGTATGTACATATAAAGATTAGGTAATCAAAATTGTGAAAATGAATACAAAACTATATGAGCGTTTGGAATCTTGAAGGCTAATGTATCTTATTCATTTAATAGTGTGTTCCAATTTATTGAGTTGCAATATGAATAATTGCAAAACTTTTTGTCCTTTAGTTCAGAAATCATTGAACACGTACATGTGTACGATGTACATATATTTCATAAGCATAACGTTAAATAACGTTAAAGACAACTGACGAATGCCGTTTAAATGATTAGGCATATCGACTTCTATTGAAAATAGGATACAATTATTATAAGTGATTAAGGCGGATTTAATTCTCGAGATGGGTGATGAATAAGATACCAATCCTGTCATTGGTCCATTGCATATTGTATTTAAAATATACACACACGTAATGTATAAATTTAAAATATACGCAAACGTAATGTATAAATTTAGTAAAAGAAAAAAAATTCTAACGGATGAAGACCGAGAAATTTGCTTATATTGTTATTCGATTTTGCTTTGAAAGCAATGTCACTCTTCTGGGAATTAGTTGTATAATATCGAAGTAATTCAGAGGACGGTGCAAATAATTATGATTAAATATCATCATTAGCGTCGATGGAAGATAATGTAATATATAATAAATTTTCAAGACAAGCTGCACTTTATTATTTCGAGAAGCGAAATCGATTACAACATGACGCGAATAAATACAGCTCTCGATATTCTTCTCGTGAGCCACTTGCAAATTTAAGACGAGAGAATAGTACGAAGGAAATTGAATCGAAAAGCAATGACACATTTGCGTGCGGGCTGATATTTGTTGAGGATACTTAAACATATGTATGAAATTTCAAAGACCGAAGTTTAAACGTAGACACTAGGTAATTGACCATTAAAAAAAGAAAAAAAAAATCATCTTTCACTTTATACACGATGAAGTATAAAATTATATTTATCTATATTAATTTGTTACATATGAGAAATATTCTGTCTATACAAGCCAGTAGTAAGTTCCGAATATTCTTCATTGTTATTAATTGTACAAAAGAAATTCGTATATCCGTTTCTTTTTTCTCGTTCTTTTATTTTCTTCCGACGATTGCGTTCTCTAAAGTAAGACTAGAAATCGTTGTTCAAAATTTATGAGCTAAAGATACGTTTGCTACATAAAAGTATATGTAAAATTTAAAGTACAAATAGTTTGTCATGAAAGTATCAGATCTTTAGCCCCAAATTTGGGAAACATCGGTTTAAAGTGTTACATCAAATAAGATCTCAACTACCTCGTGATACGATTTATTTCTGCAATAATGTAAAAATTGTATCTCTAATTTCACATACACACGATTTAGGGAGACCTTATTTTGTTCGCATTATAAATTATTCATATATTTTATACAAACATACAAGACACTTGACATTGCCACCTAAAATGTCCTTCTCACACATTACTTAAAGATATAAAAGTAATATTATACTAAGATAATAAATATAAAGACAAAGTTTATAAATTTCATTTATTAGGCCCATTTTTTTTCTTTTTTTTTTTCTTTTCTCTTTTTCTTTTTCTTTTTCTTTCCTCCCCGATGAATCTTCATAATTTTTCAATATTTTATAACTTTTTGATTTGACGTGATACAAGAAGGATGTTTTGATTTAACGGGATCGAGTGTCGCCTTTTTACATAATTTAAAAAAAAGAAAAAAAGAGTAATCTTTGGTCAGTTTGCGGTGCCAATTGTTTTCAACTTTTGAATAATAATCCTCCGACAAGATCTGTCCTAAGACTCACGAAATCTATTATTGGCTCTCACTTGACTTCTAAGCACTGCTTCAATGAATTTACAGCGTATGTCCCTAATTAATCTGAATGTCACGATTGCATTCTAATTATGTAATAAGCACATAAACCGTATTACGCGTGTCGCATTTAAATAGACGTTTAAATGATTAAATAAAGCGATCGTGCGATTATTTCTAAGTATGATTCTTGTAAGAATGGATATTTACATAGTCGAAAAGTACAGCCCACATGCGAAAATACCGGACCACACTCGAAACGCGTTGCTAAAGACTGCCTTTTTGCTTCGTGGTCGCGTGAATTAGCATCCGCATTAGGAAATATGTGCAAATAGTAAATCGACGATATTTGATATTTCGTGTAAATTTAATTGTCACATTCAATCCGAGAATTGAATCGAATTCGTACATGTATTTAGTCGTAGAAACTATGACGAAAATAATTTGTTGTCACGTTTTATTCATTTTTACGATGGAACGAGATTTTATTAATACGATTTTATTCCGCTGAAGAATTTTTATTGGTTTTAAATTTTATTCCTTTGGAATAGTTTATATGTAATCTTTTACGATATCGATAATAAAAAAAAAAAAAAAAATTACGATGAGTTTTAGCGATGACTTTTTAGACGAAGTGGATCAAGTTGTTAAAATATCGAATTCGATTCATATTTCTTATTGATCGAAGACATGTATTGAACGACATTCGATATGGCCTACTGAGTACCTAAAACACGAAGAATTATTTGACCGGGAGCAAGACGACAGTGAAATAGAAATTGTACGTATCAAGAACGCGTTTCAAGTAAAGTGGCCCGACCCTTTTGAGATTCATTTTTCTAGAAGTTATTCTATACAATTTACATGCGATTCTACCGTTTAGAAACTATTTGCAAGAAGTTTCCGATATCTAATTGTACGACTAATTACAAAACGTAACGAGGAACCTCTACCTGTCGTACCGTGTACTGTTTCCTTTTGTGTACGTTATTCCGTAATTTTATCAAATTAATTAAACCACAAGCTGATGATGGTTGGTGCAATCTATATGTCCCCTGTGATTTAAGTTCACGAAGAATTTGAGAAATCAGCGTTTTACAAATAATAAAAGATATTGTGAGTTTGGTGATCGAAGTCAATTTTTATTCGCGTTGAACCCATACAATTTCCAGGGCTTGAGTGCAACGACTCAAAAGAGGCTAAAAAACATACACGAAATAGGTCGTTTTTAATCGATATTAGAACAAAACCACGGAGCTTTATATGTACGATATTTTCACGAATAAAAATTTGTTACGATCGATCCACTGTCCGTATGATCATATAAAATTAGCAGAAATTGCTGTAAAAACTATTAAAAAGATTTTATAAAGTTAATTTGTTCAATGAATCTACGATATTCACGAAATCTTTGAAAACTTTATTTTAGAACGTCGAGATATTTCGAATATCGAGGAACGCCTTAAATCACATGAAATGTTCGCAAACTAAAGGAGACGTACGACATTGAAAAATCGCATCGAAATAATATAGAATTGGAATGGAACGAAAAATTACACCAAGAGGATGAAATTTTAAATTAATTGCCCGAAGTAAATAACGTTAACGCAAATGATATTCTAATTGCCGTTCAATCATCCGAACGTTTTTTATTCGCGTTAAATTTAACATATCATCCTTTGATGACCGCCGTCATTATCGCATACGGGTCATAAACGTGAAATATTACAAACAGCAGTTTCGTGACCCATCAAATGGACGCGTCTGTGTTTCCGTGAACCATGTTCACCGCCTCGCACGTCGTTGCTTCTCTAATACTCTAAATTAGAACCTCTCCGGCGCGACTCTCGTAACTCAACCGAGAAAGAGGCATAAGGTTGCTTAAAGTCATATACGAAGTTGGTCGAACCGGGAGCAGGCAGTTCATTCAGCGACTCACTAAAAAAGATCGTCGATCCGACGCGAGATACGGAAGAGACAGGGATTTCGCGGATATCCACGCGTTCGAAGATATCAGGAATAAAGAGCCGAAAGCGGAACGAATCGCTTTAGTTGTAATGCGGATCACGAAGCATTATTTATTAATAGCAAAGCTGGTGTGGCCGGCGCAAGGGAGTGGCAGTGCCATGCTAAAGCGAGCGCGACAGCACCAGATCGTGGAACGGATCTTCGGATCTTTTCCCCCTTCCTCTTTTCCTTCCAACCTCCCTCCCTTCCTCTAGCTCTTTCTCTTTCTCCAACAAACCATCTCTGTTTCCTATCCCTCTCTTCTTCTCTCGTTTGCAGTTACACTCACCCGTTCCCTATCTTTTCCCTTGGCTCGTCGGTCCCGCTTTTTCCACTTGTATCCTCTTCGTCTGATCGAAGGGCTCTTTCTCTCGGTCCCTCCATGTGTTCTCCGGTCTCTCTGTGTTTTTCTCCCTTCCCCCAGCGCGCCGCGGCGCACCATTCGTCCGGCGTTGCTCAAGCTTTCTCTTTCCGCTTCTCTTCCTTCTTGCTCTGTATTACGCTACCTTACCGGCTGGCTCGTTTTATCCATTGTCTCTCTCGCGTGCTTTGCTTGGCGAGTATTGTCGCGCTCCTGCTCGCGAGACAGCACGCCGTTGTAGGAGAGTGGATGAACGCTTTGTCGGCGCCCGCGGCCGAGATCAAACGCGCCGACCGCTTCCTCCTTCCCCCCACCCCCGCCACGGCTCGACCGACCCGTAATCCAGCCGAGGCTCTCTCTTTCCTCTCTCTCTCCCCCTCACGTCGCCGCCACCGCCGCTACCCAACCCCCCTATCCCACGACCCTCCCCATCCGACGAATCCATCCAGCAAAGGTACCCATAAACGCTCAGTCCCGGGCTGTTCTGGCCTGATGAGAGAAAAATCTCTGACGGGTAGCAACCACACACGTTCAGTCCGGGTTTGTCGGTTGCTGATTACACACCCACGGAAAAATAGAACGGGAAACCAACGATAACGATAATTCCGCTTGAATGAACCACCACCCCTCACTGGTTAGGGACACGCGCAAAGGGAACGCGTTGGCGCGTCTTATGCAGGGACGGGCTAATTTTCATAAAGGAGGATGAGGTTCCTCGAGTATCCCTCGTTGTTCGTAAATCTTGGAGGATACTCGGGCCGGGCATGTTAGATTGACGAGAGCTAAAACGAGATAACGTTACCGAACATACAGTGATATACGAATTGAGATGTTAGATAGTAATCAAATAAATTGATACCTCAGTGCTGTGGTAGACGTTTAAAGTTGATACAGATTTTTAGATTATAAGTACAATGACCAATCTTGTTAATCTGAAATCAATGTTGTGTTTAACCGATAACTTCTATCTTTCCAAGCTTTATTCATCGCTGCGCTTACTTTCTATTTCAAAGTCTAAATTTGCACAGTGTGACCTGCTTACTTAGGAGCTGACGACTAGTCATCTTCATCCCACTTGGTATCTGACTTCCAACGTAAAGACAATTCCTGTATACACATGATTGCATTTGCTGTTCTATATATATATATGTACATAGATACATTAGCTACTCGCAGTTATTCGATTACAATTAGTAAGTAACTATTAAGATTAACTTCTAAATATGCAATGAACGTCATGAAATTTCTTTGCGTCACAGAGAAATTTGTTGTTACTAATTTAACTTCCAGCTACATATTTATTTTCAAGTATTCCAAAAATTTATCGTTATGTAAACTACCTGAACATAGGCTTTTCAGCTGGCTTTTAAGAACGCATTCC